ATGTCCTGATAACTGTAAAGCACATTGAATAGCTCTGTGTTTGAAATGTATAGATAAAGCTGCCTTGCCTTGCCTAATGCAGGAAATAGTGGTGGAAGACGGTTTTTGGGTTCTGCCTTCATGTGGAACTCAAACTGAGTGATCAACATAAAAAAGAACAAGTATTACATGCTTCTCAGTGAACCTCACTATAATCTATGCTAAACGACTTCAAAAAGCAATACATCACATCCAGTTTTATGGTAAACGGCCTGTATTTGATATAGCACCTTCTAGAGTCCTAGAACCCCCCAAGGTGCTTTACAACACAATCAATCATTCACCCATTCACACACACATTCACACACTGGTGGGGATGAGCTACGATGTAGCCACAGCTGCCCTGGGGCGCATTGACAGAGGCGAGACTGCCGAGCACTGGCGCCACCGGTCCCTCCGACCACCACCACCAGGCAACGTGGGTTAAGTGTCTTGCCAAAGGACACAACGACAGTGGCAGACTGAGCGGGACTCGAACCTGCAACCTTCTGATCACGGGGCGAGCACTTAACTCCTGTGCCACTGTCGTTTTAATGGAATTTAAAGGAAATGTCTGACTTTTCATCCTTACACATACTCAGACCCCTCCAATGTGGCTAGCTTGATTTATTTCTGTAATGATTGTAATGATTGGGAGAAAATACCTTCTCAGTTATGTGTGAGACCCACGATAATGATCAAAAACACTTGTTTTACTACCAATTGTTAAAGGAAGAGGGAAATCACTTTCCACACAGAGCCATCTTGGTTTAAATAGATTCTGCCCCTTAATACATTAAATAAACAACATTAGCGATTTACTGGGGTAACGTTCGATATTGGAATGTGTTTGATGATCCGAAACATTTTTGTTCCAAAAGAAAGAGAAACCTAATGTAATGTGTTCCTTTCTTCTTTCCTTTCCTTCTGTTTCCAGGAGCTTTTGAGGTTTTATTATTCAAATAACAAATCCAGTGTGTTTATTTATGTTTGCATGTTAACACCTTGTGACTGTGTGTTTCTGTAACGTTCATGTGTAATCATTATTGTGCTCCAGCGAGCTGTAGATGAGTGAGGCATGAATGCAACCCTGCACTGGGGGGGACGTGATGAAATGCTTATTAGACGTGGTAAATTTCTGGGAACCGAGAACAAACAGACTCGGTAAGGACGAGCCAATTAATATTGATTATGAGACCGTAGCTCAAGCAACTGACAGAAGTGTGCAGATCTGATAAGGTGTACTGTTCCTGACTGGACACATGTTATAAACCCTAAAGCATGTATTCTCCAGGAGAGGAAAGGCAGTGGTCAAACAGTGGCGGGTGCTCTGTTTGGTGTGGGGGAGAAAGTGTTTGATGCAGCCTTTTCCTCTGTGTGGAGGAGAGGCTTTGCTCGAAGTGCCCTTAAAAATCCTCTGAGACTGTCTACAAGGCTGGGATGAAAGCTTTGTTTAGCTTAGAAGTGTGTTATGGAATATTTTTGACCTGTTTTTGTTTTAGTAGAAAAGTATTTGCTGTATGCAGGAAATGTTACAAATAAGTCTTTAATAATCAGGCAATAACCTTACCCTATGTAAGAATATTTAAACAGTCCAACAGTAATGACGGCCCATCACTGAAGATGCTGCCTCAGGCAGAACAATGCACGACCCGCCTCACCCATCACCAGAGCGGGAAATCCTGCCAGAAGTGGCCCGAGTCACACATTAAAGAGCCCAGGGCATTTACAAAAGTCCCCAGTCTGGTGGAACATCTGTGGGATGCATCAGAGCAAGCCCGATCCATGGAACGCCCACCCACAGAAACAATAAGCTGCCAATTTCTCCATGGCAGATGCCGCGCATAAATGCCAAGGGATCCATGAACAAAGACTCCACGCCAAGACGAGTTAGAGCTGTTGGGGTGGGACGAGAAGGGCCTTTAGACTGGTGCTACAGTTGAATTTGGCACAGATTTGAACACGCTCTGTTGTTTCAGCTGACGAAGAGCAACAATAATGTGTCTTAGACCCGTTTGTTTTTCTTCCTGTGACTCAAAAGGGAACCCAACAAAATGGGCAGTTTGTTATTTTTCTGATGTCGAGTTTAAGCAGCAGTTCAGATCTTTAGCAGCAGTTCTGGAGAAAGAGCCAACGGCTCATCATATACTGTATGGGTCAAAACCAAAACCAGTGGTTCTCAATTACTTTGTGTCACGCCCCACTTCCCACTCCTCGGCGCCATCTGCAGTGGCAGTTAATCTGGCTAGTAGGAGCTACTAGCTCCTACACATCAACCTAGCATTTTTTTACCCAAGAAAATGTTTTACACTATTCAAAGTTTTTTTTTTAAACACAGAAAGTAGAGGAGTTGTATTGCTGGTAGCCAATCAGAGGCAAGATGTTTGCGTACCATGAATTTTAATGAGTAAAACTTTCAAATTTGCTGTTTTCCGCCAACCCATTTCTCCAACAGACTTCTACTTCCTGAAACAGGAGCACCAGTGCTTTCTTTCCACATAAAACAACTCACCAGGGGCCTCATTTATCAAGCTTGCTTACGCACAAAACGGGGTCGGGAAACTGCGTAAACAACTTTCCACGCAAACTTTGGGATTTATGTCATGACTCCCAGGCTGACATCTTCCCCTGCTTATTTCAGCTTCTCCTCATTTCATTGTTTTCACCTGAGCCCAATTCCCCACGCACCTGCCCCTCGTCTCCTATCAACCAGCCCGTGTATATAACCCTGTCTGCGTCTCTCTGTGTTGTCGGCCCATTGCTGCTGTCAGCGTTGTTTTGTCTCCCCCCCCCCCCCCCCCCCCCCCCCCCCCCCCCGGTCACTAGTTCTCTGCTCATAGAGTGAGCTTTTGGTTTTGTTCTTTGCAGAGTTTTGATAATTGGTCTTGGCTTCCTGCCCCTTTGGATGTTTATTTGTTTTTTCATCCTTAATAAAGGATTTTACTTTTATCTCCACTCCTGCCTCTTGTCGTCCTAGGGTTCAGCATATTGGGTCCAACCCTCCTGATCTCAACGTGACCGAATGGACCGACCAACCATGGATCCAGCAGAACTTTGGACTTCACCAAGGCACCCCGACAGGTACTATGTGGGCCATTCCCATCTGTACCGGGTCGGCCCGGGCCGGGTAGCCTCAGTCGGCCCCAGCCTGGCCCGGTTGATTCCACACATCCTTGCCTTAAGCCCATGTGGGCTGATTCTACCCACCAATCAGAGGCTTGCTCTAATGGAAGGTGTGAATTTTCTGTCAGCAGTGGGTGTGTTGGCCCTGGTCGGCCTGAAGCAGACCCCCTCGAGAAGAGGGCTGAGAATGAGCCTTGGTTGGCCCGGAAAAATACCAGGCCGCCCAGATATGTAAACAACCTACCCTACCCGGCCCGGGCCGACCCGGTACTGATGGGAATGGCCCAATGGAGACCCAGACACCTGCAGAAATTTCATCCAGGACTGCGCTCGTTGCCTGAACCTGGGCTCCTCGGAATTCAACAAGGTCTCCTACATGGTGCTTTGTTTGGGTGCTAGCGCCCTAGAGTGAGCAACAGACTATTTTGAGGAACATTTGATTAGATCGGTGTCTTTCTGGGAGTTTGCCAAGCGGTTGCAAGAGACCTTTGGCCGTAACTCACCTCCTGTTCATGCCTCCGCCTCCACACTGCTGGAACACCAAGTCACCTCCTCCATGTCTACTCCGTCTGCTCCGAGTCATCATTACCCTCCTGCTACCATCCAAACCATAAGAACGGTTTCCTCTCCATTTCCCCCCGTTCCTGTTGACACCACCTCATCCCTTCTGGTGGGTCAAGTTTCTACAGCACTCACCGTCCGAACAGCGCCACCTCAACCTCCACACGACGTTGTAACCGTTGCTAGCAGCCTCCAGTGGTCAAAGCTGCACCATACCATACCATCTGTATTTATAAAGCACCATTTCAAAACAGCATGGCAGCTAACCAAAGTGCTGTACATAAAAAAGCCAAATGCTTGATCAAGAAACACAATAAGAACAGGCAAAATACATGAGAACAAAGCATAAATAGTCGGAGTAAAAATTCCTACTAAAAACAATAAAATAGAACAGTTAACAGCACTATAAAAATAAAATAAAGCAATGAATGATAAAAACATTTGAAATGGCAAATAAAACGAAATAAAATACCAGATGGTGCGAGGTGCCAAAATTACACTGGCGTTCTCACTTTCTCACACCTTTATTTTACAGGACTGATCTTCAGCACGGCTCTCCCCCGCTGCATCAGCTCGGTCGGTCTTGCCCCGGCCGCCTCCTCAGATATTTTACTTTTTTATTCTGTCACGAGATTTGGCCTGCCACAATGTGGATGGCTTATCCACTAGAACTGGCCATTAACCACCGCCTTCAGCATATTTTATCAGCTGGAAACCTTTAAAATCGAACTTTTCTGTCCTTCTTTCCCCTACTTGTGCAGCCTAAAGCTCTACGTGTGTTAACCATGCTGATAGATATTATTTTGCCGCTGTTTAGCACTGTTTATTGACAACTAACAGATAAACACAACTGTAGTCAACAGGGAGGTGCCACCTTCTTGCCCTCCCGCCTGAGGGGCAGGATGTGGGTGTGGGCATGTGATGTCATGCTGAAATGAGTCTATAAAATAGGATTCGCCTGAAATGGCTTAAGATTTTTGATTTATTTCCCCTAGCCATGAATCTATGTAGAATTGCTTTCTATTTCGTCAAACTGATGTCATTAAAAGAGCTACTCACTATGTTAGCTGTTCAAACCCCTTCACCCACAAAATAATCTGAATGTCACTTTAATTCTTCATTCACGTTTGAAACTGCAACAACAGATCTGCAAATCTGAGCTGTATAGGGTCTAATAAAGGGTTTAATGGAAAATAAGGTGAAGAATACAGTAGGAGTTTGGGATCAGCGCTGGATGAATTAATTCATGGGGATGGTTTTTAATAAGCTGCTTTTCAGCTGCTTTGCGTCTCACTCACCAGGGCTGTTCCACTGCTGTTCTTTGTCCATGTTCGACACTTCAAAGGAAGAGAGAGAGCCAAAGTCAGAGAACGACTGAGACAAACAACGCCGAAACCAAAGAGGAGAAAATTGAAGTGGAAAGAAATCCAGTGTCAGAAACTGACAAAATATTCAAAATCTAAGCAGGATGTTTCATTCTTAATAAAAAAAGGACTCAAGAGCAAGAAGCTCGGCTGCCTTCAGCACAAAATATATAGTTATTTTTTTGTTTTGTTTGTTTTTTTCTCTGCAACTCAGCAAATGGTTTGGCATCAGATGAGAGACACAAAAAAGAAAATGGAGTTAAGAGAAGATGAAATTCTTTCATACCTTCACTTTCAATATCATCAACAGCATCATTGACTAGACGTATGACGGTCACTATGGAGGCTTGGCAGAAAACACAAAGAGAGAAAAGAAGAACAGACAATCTCAGCATTTATCTGTGGGTGAAATCTATGGCTGGCTTTTAAATTAAGCTCCTTTTCCAGAATGTTGGCAGGCTTGATGAAAACATGCGGAACGTTAAGTCTCGCAAATATGTTTCCATGCAGGTGACGTGTGTTTGCATTCCCTATAGGGGCGCAGGAAATATATGAGGGCTTGTTTTTATTGCAGCTACGCTAATTAGACAGGACAGAAATGGATTTTCTATCTAGAGCACAGGACACTAGGAACACACGACCAACAGGCAGGTCCGCTCCCCCTTACACCTGGTCGAGTAAAAAAATCAATCAGCCTCAGTTATCCAGGAAGAGGAAAGTGTTTCTTTAAGAAATATGATGAATCTGCTCATTTATGAACTTTAGTTTAAAAGGCTTTCACTTTACTTTTTTAATAAATCTACTAAAGAATCTCAAAAACAAACAAAAAATATATATATAACTACTTGGGATTCAGCACAGGGACCCAGTGGTTTTTACTTTGGCAATACACAATGTTCATGGAAGATGCTTGTAGTTGGTGTGTTTTGCTTTGGCAAACAGATTTATTATCATTACTTTGGCCAACTGTTTCATCCTAACAAACAAAAAGTACTTTTCAGAACAGTCCAGCTGCAGACCTCCCTCCTGATCCCCAGCAGGCTCATTCTGTGAGCTAAGCTTTACCCCTGTGATTATAACAATCCAGCTAAACTCCAGCTCCGACCAACTTTAGTGCAAAAATAAGAGTAGCAGATTTTTGACATGAATTACGATTAGCGAATGTAATAAAAAGTTTTCTGAGCTACTGTTGGTTTAAACAATGACTCACTTATGAAATCCACTAAACACAAAACTGTCCTTTTACCAGCTACAGCATCAGGGGCGGCGTTAGGCCCGGCTACTTGGGCTGAAGCCCCGGGTGTTTCATGAAAAGCCCCGGATCTAAAACGTGGAAGTAACATGCAGTACCAAAGCCCAACAGAGAGGGAGCAGCTAGCAGTAGTTTGTATACAGCCTGCCTGAGCCTCCACCACTGAAGAAGAAGCCCTTCAGCAGCCAGCTTCTTCTACACTCTCTGCCTGAAACACATGAGTGAAGATGGACATAAGGACGTTTTTTAGACCAAAAGAACAACGACAGAACCCCAGCTTTGATGAGACTGGTGTTGACTCAGGTTTGTGAGTCCTATTTGAAAATATTTTTTGTGCTGCTGGTTTGCCTAAAGTTAGCTTACTATCAGGTAAAGTTGTTGGAGAAAGAAAGGGAATAATTACTATCATCTCACACTAAACACTAACAGGAACAATACTCTGCCCTGAAAATGCTTAATATGTAGCTTCAGAGGAAAAATTATGTGGTACAAGACAAATATATATGATGTTGACAAGTGCGTGTCACGTGTGTGTGCACGCATGTGTGTGTGCGTGTGTGTTAAGCCCCAGATGTTCTTCAGTCCCAAAATCCGCCCCTGTACAGCATACTGTTGCTTCAGTGCACAAATGTGGAACATTAATCATATAAATAGATTAGTTTTAATGATATTTTTAGGAAATATTCTTTAACTTTTGAAGTCAACGCATTTTATGTGAGCCAAACAACCTTAACTTACTCAAAACAAAATTGGTTTTACAGGTATGGAGCAAAATTCTCAGTAGCTGAGCATCATTCACAGCACATGCCGTCCACAAGAACCTGCATTTTTTGCAAATTACACACAATATTTTCAAGATTTAACCAGAATCTCAACACATCTAAGTTTAAAAGCCTTGAATGAAAGGTCATGAGCAATGTGCATCCATTAGAAAGAATGCTAGGTCTTTAATTTGTTTCTTTGTCCAACATGGCAGAAGTGGTGGAGAAGTGGAGTTAAAAGTGGAATAACACGAGTGATAAAGAGCCTAGAGTTTCCTCAGCTGTGCATTCCTACCGTTGTCATCGAAGGACTCTGATGTGTACGAGCTGAGGGACTGCTCTTCAGAGGTGGAGTCTGAGAGACACGTCACATCCTCCGTCCGCTCTGAAACATCCAGAAAATAAACACAAACACGTCAACAGCTTCCTCCTAGAATTACAATTAACAAAATAATTGTCGATCTTAAATAAAATCTCTGATCTGAATGAAAAAGATTTACCCCTTGTAGAAAGCTTTTTTGCTGAATTAGCAAGCTAATGATTAGCAGTAATGCCGGTGATGCGTTGCTTAGTAGCACGTAGTGATGTGTCAGTCGCAAACGAACCGGCTCTAAGAGCCGGCTCTATGAGGTGAACGACTGGAGCCGGCTCGTCATTGGGAGCCGTCACCCTCCCTCCCCTTCCCCTCTTGCTTTGGTGAAAGCTACAGGCGATTGGTCAACATGTGTAACTGCGTGTCCAGACTATCCACACACAGAGCAGCAGGGGCGGGGAAGAGGGAGGATCAGACTCAGACAGACACACAGCATAGCACATGCGGGCGGAGGGAGACGAGAGGGAATGCGGAGGAGGAAAAAGGCCAGCGAGAGAGAGGAAAGTGCGACGAAGACGGTGAGAAAATGAGCGACAGCAATCGGAAAGTTGAGATTTCTTAAAGTGTTCAGTAAATAAATCCATATAAATGATACATGTTTGATATGTTGCATTTTTTACATTAGTTAATCATTTTACATATAGTTTAGCATTATTTTTGGTGATAAATATACTTAACGCAACAGAAAATCTGAGGAGCCACTTGGGAGCTGAAAGACCGGTGAGCTGAGCCAAAAGAACCAGCTCTCTAAAAAGAGCCGGAATTCCCATCACTAGTAGCACGCTACTCTAAAATAGCTACTTTTCCCTTATTCTGGTTGTTTTTCCCTTTTCCCTAACCCTAACCCTGTAGCCAACAACAGCATGCATACTAGTCAGAACAAGCAGCGTACTGAGCTACTAAACAACCGAACAGCACCGCGGCCCCATTCCTCGGAATGAAACCCTTGCTCATGGTGCACACTTATACCAACAACACTGAACAAGACTAACAACATCCAACACAAGACTGGCAACAAAACCCCAACTAAACAACTGGAAACCTGGCTGCCAACAATGCACCTCACCCTCTGCTTGTTCTGTAGTCACTAGTGACCCCGCCCACTGTGGAACAAACAACAGGTGGGGTGCATTGTGGGTAGCCGGTTTTCAGCTCTTTTGTCCTATTTTGGTGTGTTATCGGGTGTTTTGTTGGGGTTTCATTGCTAGGGTTGTTTGTCTCTGGTTCAGTGTTCTGATGGGGCGATTTTCGGTTGGTGGTAATGTTGCACCATGAGTAGCAGTTCCATTCTGAGGAATGAGACCCCAGTGCCATTAGACTTCCATCAGTGTGTTACTGAACTCTCAGGTCTCAGTGATGTTGTTCATGATGGATGTTAGCCTTTAGCACACTATCCATTGCATTACATTGTGTTTGCATAGCAAAACTGATTGTTGCTTCCAATGTAGAAGTAATGGGTTGTTATTAGCAGCTGCTGAAAATAATTAATTAGGTAACTTCTAAACTAATTTAAGATACTTTTAACATAAAGTTATTTTAAAGTGACTAAGTTACTCTTCTAAGGAGTAATGTGCAGTCAGTCATCAAATTACTACTTCTAGGTTACTGTGGCAACATTGATGATTAGTCACACTGAGACAAGAGTAAGTAGATTTTTGCAGCCTGACAACTCTTCCCCGACTTTCCAACGGATGCATGAGTGGCAGCAAAGGTGTTCCACACAGGTCGTCACGTGAAGTCATGAAATCACCAAAGAAAGGCACATTTTTCATTTAGAAATTCGCTGGACATTTTACCCTGCTTCCGTGTTTTACTTCCTGTCTGACCAGATCTGAACTTGTCGTGTTCTTGTGGCATCTTAAAAATAGATTCAAACACAAATTTAGCAGATCAGTGACACTACGATGGCATGCGTCCAAATCACGCTGCTAGGTACTTGGGGCAAACACCTCTATTGACTATAATACCTGCATACTATGCTTCGCTTGTGATTCTGGTGGAAAGCCGGGATAATCTCCAAAGAAGACTTTGGATATTCTGTGACTAGCAGTTAGCTCATCAATCAGATCAAAACGGAACTCTGTGCCTCTTAACTCAGGTCATTTTGTCAGAACCCAAGCCCCCGGACCGGCCTCTCCCAGCTAACCGGCCTCCATCTTGGACCACATTTCCCAGCATGCTCCTCGCGGGAACTCCCGGCATTCTCCCAGTCACTCCCAAGCCTATATATGGAAGACGCGGCTCTTCACTCAGTCATCGTTTCATTGAAACCCATGATCAGAATTCTCTACCTAATAATCCAGACATCAAACATCCTTACCAAGCTCAGCTCCCGTACCCAGTTGACCATCGTGACACATTTAAAGAGCTATTCAACGTGTAAGTTATTCATTATTCCTAAACTTTCCACAGAAACCCATTTCAGAGTATCTAAATGCTCTCCTGAAAAATACTTTCCAATTTAACAGGAACACATCCAGCAATTTTAGGGTCATAAAACAAACCAACATGGATGTCATTTGCCTGTGGGAGGAAACCAATCTCCTGCTGTTACAGTAAAAACTACTTTTAACAAGTTAGAAACAAATTATTCCACATTTAAAATGGAGTTGTGGCAAATAAAACTAGGTTTGTTTCTCTACGAAACAAGGCCTCGAGGACAAATAGATATGCAGCGTATTTATTTTCTTTTTTTAGTACTGTGCAGGCTCTCGCTCAAGCTCGTCAAGCTTCCTTCAGATCTCACTATTTGATCGTTTCAGAGGATAATGAGAGGAAGACGAGGATTATTTTAAATGAGCCGATTTAAGAAGATGTATAGAAGTGGTGTAAACTCCACGTTGAGGATAAAATGAGCTTTGTAAAGAGGAAAAATCTATCTGAATGATTCTTCCTCCTTCAAAGTCAGAAGTTAAATATCTGAATTTAAGTTAAATACAAATGCTCAACACAGGTATGTTAGTTGAATGGTGAGTCCCTTATCTGCGTCATTTGTGAATTCTGATCTGTGTAACCTTTTGTTGTCGGCTGCTGCCGTACATCTTTGGAGAATGTTTTAACGGTGCCTCCGCCAGATAAAAGTGGTGTTGTAAGACCAAAATGGTGCATGCTCCTCTGTGATTCCTCTAAAATCACGCTGTTACCTTGAAACGAACACCTCAGTTGCATTAAAAGCTCCGTATACAGGTTACCGTGGCAGGAGTGCTGCGAGCTGGGCTGAGTAAAAGCATTCAGAAGTTCAGACCCAAATCTCTTATTTCAAGATGAAAACCAAACATTTTTTTTTGAGGGAAAGGAATTTAAAAAAATTGCACGTGGAGAATTCCACCACTTTCCTCAGTTACCTTTCACTCTCCCACCAGCAAAGGGGTATTTCACATAAACGGATACTTCTAAATCAGCGTGATCCGTGACACAACTTTTCCCCCCTCTGCTTTCACGGAGAGTCAAGCCTTTTCAAAGCACTCACGTGCTTCTGAGTGATAGTTTGTCAGAAATGTGTCAGAGGGCCGTACCAGGTACTCAGGTGTCACCATTCGGCGTGTGGCAGGGGACCATCTCCAACACGGTCCATTGAACCAAGGCCGAGACGGGCACCTCACTCCTCCAGGTGCTCTGCTCTAATCTTACAGCAAGATAATGCCTGGTTTAACACAATTGTTCAAATTGTGAACGAGATGGAAAAGAGTGTCAGAGCGTAGATCAGGAGTTCAAGAATGCTGGTTTATTAGCAAAGGAAAATCTGGATGAAAATAACAATGTTGTTGATGAGATTATTAATGATTCTTAGAAAAGTTTCCATAAAATTATTGTCATTATTTTTTTGTACAGAAAAGGTCCACTTTGGTGCTCTTAATGAATTACAAGACATTTTATGCACAGTACTAGTGATGCGCTTATTTTTGACTAATTATAAAAAAGGAAATAAATTTTAATGTAAAGTATATGAACTTTTACTTCTAGATTTTGGCTGCATGGTGGCGCAGTGGTTAGCACTGTTGCCTCGCAGCATGAAGGTTGCTGGGTCGAAACTCGGCTGCGGCCTTTCTGCGTGGAGTTGCGTGTTCCAAGCTTACAATTCATCTCGACAATTATGTGAGTCTGTGAATTCACCGCACGGTGCAAACCATCTCTGAGCTCCGGGATCAGTCCAATATTCCTCGACAGCTCGTTAATTTTCCGGTAAGCCAGGTAGCCTCCAAGGCCAATGAGCAGGAAACCTGACACCAACACCACGGATATCCACACGTCTTCAGAGTCCTCCACAGACAGCTGAGATAAACAAATCAAGTTCCACTGTTTCCAGGAAAAAAGTGTCTGCACCCTCCAAGAGCCGGAAGAAGAATGAAGAATGAAATCCACCCTTCTGGTTGTAATTCCACTTTCAGCCAGTAGGGTGGAGGAGCAGGAAACTACTCACTGTTACTTTAAAGCTTACTAATCAAAATATACATGATAATTTTCATTTTGGATAAGAGCTCATATAAGAGAGGCAATAGATTTGGTTCTTGGCCCTGCTCAGACTAACTGCTAGCACGTCGATCTGGTAAAAATATATCTCCTGAAACTCATCTGAAAAGATTGTGTCTATGCTTAGACTCACTTATTTTGTTAGTAGGAATGAAATCAAATTGTCCTGGTACAATTTCTCAAAATGACTTTAAACCCTATAGTACCAGCTTGGAGGCCTAGTGGTATGAGTGTCCGTCCTGGGACTGGGAGATCAGGATTAAAATCCCAGGTGGGTCATACCAAAGACTTAAAAAGGGATCCAATGCCTCCCTGATTGACATCAGCATTAAAGGCGTTAGATTCGGGGGTTAAACCACCGAATGGTTCCCGAGCGCGGCCACAGCTGCAGCTCACCTGTCAAATGCGGAGACAACTACTGGGACTTTAGCTATTGTTTTCTTTAAACACAGTTGGAGAAAACACCTTATTAATGAGGAAAATGTAAAATCTTTACATCATTTCATCTTGGATGGATTTCAATTGCAACTTCACATTTTAGCTGGAAGCTACAAAATCAAACCTCTAGCCCACATCAGTGACCATGAGGTGCAGGATGATGCTTGGACATCTTCTCTGGCCTTCTACACCCAAGCCGTGCAGTCACGGTCCAACGTGTGCAGAGCCAGAGAAGTGCTCCTGTGGGAACGTGCGCAGTAAGGCAACACCGTCAGTCAACCTAAATAAGACAGGTGGTGCAGCAGGCGCTGCTCTGATTCAGAAGACAAGTCAGAGAATTCTACAAAACCTGAAAAAGGATGATAAACTCTGGTTTTCTTGATCCTGACCTTCATTATTTTTAATCACCTATTGTGTGAGTTTTAAAATCAGAATTAAAACATTAAATTCTCACATTACATTTCATTTTGATGTTTAATCATCTTGGATTATGTATTATAATGAGACTTTTTAGGTTTAACAGTTTGAATCTTGCTACTTTTTCCATTAATTTCCTTCAAAGTAAACCAAGTAATATTTCAAATGAAAATTCTTACTGTCACTAACGTTGAGGTTCAATCCTAAGCTCCAACAGTTTTAACCCTACTTCCTTTTCAGCAACTAATATGTTGTCACAAATTGCTTTCTGTAATCCGTTCTGTAATTGCCGCAGTAATAGTCGTGGTATTTCAATTCCGCTGAGATGGTTTATTTCCAAGAGATGTGCCATTGACGGTTACCGAAACCCAAGCAGCACAAGATTTTTATTTGTAATGAGTAATGTTGGCTAAATTCCACAGGTTTTACATTATTAATTATTTTATTCTTATGTACAAAAACTGTTTTCAATAGATCTGTTTAACTACCACTTAAGACCGGAGTTATTAATGTACTAATGTGAAAATTAGATGGCTATTTGGCCTTATCGCATTTTAATTAATGGACTGTGTTGTGGCTGTGAACCCTGGGGTGTGTGTTTTATTTATTTGTTTATTTTTATTCCGGTGCACACGCAGCAGGAGAGAAAACAACTAAAACTGCTTATTTTCTCTTCCCACAGAAAGAAATCAATAATTAACAAGCAGGAAGCTGTATTATTCAAACAGCAGGTCAGACAGAAGGATCGAAGATTCTGACGTCCACCTTGGCGCTGAGATGCAGCGTGATTATTTCACAGACGGGGAGCAAACTCGACTGTATTCTTGTTGACAGGGTCGGCAGCTAAACGTCACGCTGAAACTTGATTATCTGACAGCAACGTCTCACTGCTTCAATTCAGCTTGTGGACCTTGCAGCTGATAAGAAGGCCCTTGAAGCATGGGTGGAAAAAAAATGTTAGAAAAGCTTGATTCTTTTTTATTTCATGGAGCAAAAAAAAAAGTTCAACTATGTGTAAAGTAGGACAAGAACTCAGGACATCAGCGCTGCTTGATGTATCAAACAGAAGGGAACATGACATGTAGGTGAGTTGAACTGGTCCAAGAGGGTATAATTGCCAATTTGAGCAGTGAAACTTAAAGTTATGCCCTTTTTTCCTCCAAGTAAATAAATACTAAGGATAATGATAATGAACTGGCAGTAAAATGAAAATCTAACACTTTAAGCAGTTCTAAGCCACTTTCTCAGTGAGCAGAACAATGACCTGAACTTTTGTGACTAAGAACCCACGTGTTCTTGTGTATGTGTGTGTATTTACCCTGTGGACTTGTGTCCCTGAGGGTTCTCTCCAGCTCAAAAGCCCTCTGGCCCCACTCCTCCTCTCTACCGTCTCGAAGCCTCTCCAGGCCTCTCTCTCTCTTATCTTCACCCTCCCAGGACACTTTGTGGGCCGGGCTGTGCTCAGAGCGGTGGGCCAACGTCGAAGGGAGATTGGGCGCCACACTGCAAACAGCCAGGCCCCTCCTGTTTGTCACACTCCGGGTATTAGACATGTCTGAGAGGAAGCTGCTCATCTGTAGAAATGAAAATGCAAAAGACACTATAGAGGTGTACTAAAATTTTTTTTTTCTTTTTTTGAACCTCTTTGTTTAGAAACAACAAACCTTTTTGGGGCTCAAAATGGCCCAGGAGCCCTGATAAATGCCAAATACCTGAAACACCATAGTGAAGACCCCACCCATTTAGGACATGAATAGGGAGTCCAAGTCTTCTCCCTTCAAGGTCGGATCGTGGGTCCCCAGAAGAACCAAAAAATGAATGCAAGTCAACGGGGCTGAAAACGCTATTTTTCAATCCGCTTTGCCTTACACCCTGGATCACATACATGTTGCACCGCAGTTTAAATGAAAAGTAATGATGGGTGTTTCGACCTCGTCGTCATTTTTTCATTCTTCCAGGGGCCCATGGACCGGAAGTAGATGGGCGTGACTTAGGCTCCCTATTATAAATGTGCTGGTCGGTTCACCCTAAGGATTTGTTGATGCTGCCTGAAGCTATAAACTCTGTGGTGTGTGTGTGTGTGTGTGTGTGTGTGTGTGTGTGTGTGCATGAAAAAGTAATAACGTGAGCATCTGACAAGTTGTAGTGGGGCTGTGGCTCATTTTTTGCATTCATGTCAGGTCTGGATATTCCCACTACATCATGGAATGTGAGTGGCGCTCATTTTTTTTCTTTGTTCTTTTGCACTCGTCCAACAAGTTTGTTAGCAGAAGCTCAGGCTAGCGTTAGCAGTAGCTTGGGCTAGAGTCAGCACACATGTGTCTCCGCTGAGCATTTTTATGTGGCCTGCGAGATAAATATCAAAAATACATAAAAAACTGACCCGCTGGCCGATTTTTTCGCAAAGACTCTACAACTCCCATGATACTTTGCGGTGTTAGCACAGATCCGAAGTGCCCCCTCCTTTGTGTTTTTTCCAGCGTCTGCTGCCGGTGTCTGCAGCTCCGCTGTCTCGGACAAACTAAACACTCCTCTCTGTCATGATCCGCCCCAGCCTCCCTGACTGTGTCTCTCCTGCCCTGATTTGCCTAATTGTTCTCACCTGTCCCTGATTACTCTGCCCAGGTGTTCCTGATTCCCTTGTGTATTTATACCTCCCTCCTTGTTGCTGTCTTTTGTCGGTTCATTGTCGTTGTCCATGTTCGTTCGTCCTGTTGCTCCTGTCCTACAATAAACATCTTTTTATTTTTTACATCCGTCTGCCTGCTCATCTGCCTCTGGAACCCACCACCACACATGGTCTGCCACCTCCACCCGCAGAACATGACAGAATGAACCGACCAAACCTGGACCTGTGGTGAGCTAACACATCTGTTCCTGGAGGATTATTTTTCTTTTTTTTGTCCCTTTCAGTTGTGGGAGATTTCTGGCCTGGAGTTTGTGTGTTCGGCGCATCCTACCTGTTCTCGGGGTGGTCGAAGTTCCTCTGGGAGATCCTGGCGCATCCTATTTATCTTCGGGGTGGCCAGGGTCATTCTCCTCCAGCTGTTTTTGCCCCGTCCCGTTCTTCTCCTGAAGCCGCGGATCCTGGAGCCACAAGGGAATTACACCCCCTACGCACGCCATTATTCTCCGGTGTGGTAGGGCTGGTCTCCCCGCTCTTCTCCGGCTTCCCTTCACCCGAGCCTCCGCCGATGGACCCAGCAGATCGGATGTGCACCTGCTCTGATTGGGATGTCGAGTACCTGCCGCCGAGCTGGGCTTCCACGCGTCTGTCCCGCTACTCAACCACTTCTGGTCCACGCCTGCAGGTTCTGTGCCTGCAGGTTCTCCACGCAGCAGTTCCTGCTGGGGCCTGTGCCTGCTGCTGCAGTTCCTACTGGGTCCCACGCCTGCTGCTGCAGTTCGTCTCTGTGTTCCTGGTGTCCTGTATTCCTGGAGTCAAGTGTTCGTGTCAAGTCTACTCAAGTCTACGTGTCAAGTCAAGTCTACGTGTCAAGTCAAGTCTACGTGTCAAGTCAAGTCTACGTGTCAAGTCTACGTGTCAAGTCTACGTGTCAAGTCAAGTCTACGTGTCAAGTCTACTCTACTCGGTCAAGTCTACGTGTCAGGTCAAGTCTACGTGTCAGGTCAAGTCTACGTGTCAGGTCAAGTCATCGTGTCCAAGTCAAGTCATCGAGTCCCTGTGCCCAGTCCTTGAGTCCCCCTGGTCTAAGTTCTTGGACACGTCTGTTTGGTCGTAAGACAGAGTGCCGCCTGAACCGAGAGGCCCCTGCTCCGCAGCCCTGGATGGTGTTCCTTGTCCCCTGGTCTCGTCTTCTGTGTTCCCTTGTCATGTGTGCCCTGGTCTGGTCTTCGTTCGTGCCCGTGTCTCCTGTGTTTTGTGGCTTGTGGGCGTCTGGTATCCGCCCCTTGAGGGGGGGGGGGTACTGTCATGATCCGCCCCAGCCTCCCTGACTGTGTCTCTCCTGCCCTGATTTGCCTAATTGTTCTCACCTGTCCCTGATTACTCTGCCCAGGTGTTCCTGATTCCCTTGTGTATTTATACCTCCCTCCTTGTTGCTGTCTTTTGTCGGTTCATTGTCGTTGTCCATGTTCGTTCGTCCTGTTGCTCCTGTCCTACAATAAACATCTTTTTATTTTTTACATCCGTCTGCCTGCTCATCTGCCTCTGGAACCCACCACCACACATGGTCTGCCACCTCCACCCGCAGAACATGACACTCTCACTCAGCGCCGAGTTTACTCAGCAATTTTCCGACATTGAAGCCCAATAACGGAGATTTTAACCGCTCAATAATGTGTTCACAACTGAAAGAGAAAGTTTTCCAGAAAGAGCTGATATAACTCCAGCGAGCTGCGACACGCTCAAACCAGCACGACTCTGTGGCTGCTGTAGTTGTTATTTTTCCTCCCCGACACACAACAATGTGGTCAAGCTGCTCAGACATGTTCAGCAGCACAAACCTATGTGAGCACCTGTTGTCATCTAATGTTGTCATTATTATGATGAAGATGAACAAAACAACAGGAGTCTCCTCCTCAGCTCTGGAACAGGTGAGCATCACAGTAAATCAGTGGAGAAAACAGCTTTAAATATTTAGGTTTTCTGCTCTTTTTCTGCTCCAAAACATGAAAGTTAACAGGTGAGATGTTGCATTTTCATTTAAGATAAAATGATATTTTTATTTTGTTGTTGGCCCTTGAGAAAATATGCTGTGAAGATTTCTGAGAGGCCATTTTGGATTCATCTATCCCACTGCAAGCTTATCAACGTCAACCGCTACTAGGGTAGCAACAAAGTCCGGCTTCACAGGCGTGTTGGCAACAATAGGTGTTCATGTCTCAACCCCGGTGAGGATAAGATCAAGATAAAGATAAGATAAAGATCTGCTTCAAGCTTGCTGGGTTCACCACATTGCTGATGTTGGTGCAAGTTCATGGCCTGCACTTGGGCCGCCTCTCAGCACCTGACGGAACAACTGAGACAGCAGCATTTGAGGGGGTACTAGAACTGGGACTTACATGATGGATTGGAGCTCCTCCCTCACCGCGCATCTACATGACAACTTAACCTGCATCCACTTCGGCTGAGGACCCCCTGGACACAACTACAACAGGACACAGCAAAGAAGAGACGCTGGGAAAGGATCAACTACTTCAAGCACCTGCACCCAAACCTCCAGACTGGTTTCACGGTCAAGGACCTGAAGGACTTTTCGGGGACAAGATCAGCTCCCTGACAATTGGACAACCGCATCGACATGCCACGGAAAGACCCTGACGTCTTCCTATTGAGAAGTTGAACTGTGCGCTCCTACACCATGAACTCCATTCAATTCAGTTCAAATCAATTCAAAAATACTTTATTAATCCCAGAGGGAAACTAGAGTTTCAGTACACACAATTCTGAGATCAGACATACATACACAGAGACATGACAAGAAATGGTGACTGTGGTCATTCGCAACCCGAGTTGCAATATGTTATTACACTCCGGACCTGGACTTCAAGATACTCATCAAGGTAAGACTGAAACTGACCAACGGAAGATGACTCTGACTTTCAAACCTATTCTCCAACCGGGACTCGGTCCACAGATGAGCCCTTTGATGAAGAACGCCTGGTTTGCCTCAGCTCTGCCATGGCTAGAACTGCATAAATTAATATTGCACGTTCATTTTTCCTCATTCACAGAAAGACTCGTCTGCAACTTGAAGCTTTAATCTAAATTCACCTGATGTTTCAATACACTGTACTGATGTTTTCTGTGTATTATATGGTTTTGCTAACCCTTCCCAATCCCTTTACAGGAACTGCCATAAATTGTAGAATTGTGCGTCACAGTAAATTCACTTCAATATGTATGACATAGGTCTCCTTAAGCTTATCATTGTGTTGATTTAACAGATTCCCTTTATCGCACTTGTATTTCTGCAAAATGCTGGTTGATGTCAGTTTGTTTTATTCATGGACGTAATTTTCCCTTTAGAAGTGTGTGTGTGTGTGTGTGTGGGGGGGGGGGGGGTTCTTTACAGTGTGTTCTAATGGGAAACAGGCTTCAACACATGGTTGTTTTCTGCTTGGTCCTAGAGCTCAACCAGTGTCAATTTAACATAGCGTAATATTGTTTTTGGGTGGTAAAAAGTGCAGGGGTCAAAACTTGACTTTGGAAAAAGTGTGTGGGGGGTGGGGGCATGTCCCCCCCCCCCCCCCAAAAAAAAATTGGGGATGTTAAAAGGATGTTTTAACTCACAGAGGCCTGCAGGTCTTCTGTTTTATGAGCAAAGCGCTGAGAATCCGCTTGTTATGAGCGCTAAACGTTATTTTGCCGCTTCCGTGCGAAGCGGTAGGGAAACACATTTCAAACACGGAGCCGAGTCCAGCTACCGAAGCGAGCAGAATTCTGATGACGTCACACTGGTGCGCGAAGGTGCGGGCTCCAACCCACAGGAGAGGAGGGAGAGAGGAGGTAAACAGCGAGTGAATCACAGGGACTGAACTGATGTTTTTGAGCAAAATTGCAGTAAAAATGGCTGTTTGTCCTCATTGTCAAAAGTGTACCCCACCCCCATGGTTTAGATGCGGCGCTCATGTAGGTGTCTCTTTCTGTTCCGACGCTGCAACATGCAATATTTTTAATTTATTAAGCCTACAATTTATTTTTACTCAGTAACGGATATGATTTAAAATGTAGCGAATTACAATTCTTTTTTAAAAACTTACTCAAGTAAAAGTAAAAGTACAGATTTAAAAAACGACTTAAAAAGTATAAATACACAAAAAAGCTTCTTAATTACAGTTACGTGAGTAAATGTAATTCATTACTTTCCACCTCTGGTTATTGATAAACATATTGATAAAATCCATAACACAAGTCAAACCAGCTTTCCCCAGAACCAACTGTTTCTCAGTGGTCATTAATATGTAACTGACTTACACAGGAAAGCATTGCGGAGACAGTACAGACAATTTGGTATATTAGACACCCCAGGCTACTTAAATTCAACTACAAAGTAAATTTAGCTTTACATTCTAGGACCGCTTTAAGGATAAACTATTATTTCAAACTCAACCAACATTTATCTTATAATGAGAAATGTTGGCATTATAGCTTTGGTCATTTTTTGGAAAAAGGCTAAATGTCACTCAGTCTTATAACATCAAGCCCACTCCGTAAACACTCTGATTATTTGGTATAAATTATTTTCAGCTACTACCACATGATCTTGCAGCTCTGTCGCTGTCAAACCGACTGAGTTTTAGCCATTTTTGTGGTTATTATCAGTTGTAGGAGTACATCTAATTAATAATTCCAAGATGTTTCCCTAAAATCCACCCAGCGCATGGATTTTTTCCCTTTTTTAAGTGAAGTTAAATCAGCCTCACACTCAACGATCCTTCCAATGAATTCTTAAATTCACAAATCCACCACTCAGATCAGCAAATACCCTGTGTAGCTCTCAGAGTGCTAAAGCTGTGTAGCACCCAGCTGTTTAAGGGGATTTAACCTGCTTAAAAAAGTAAATATAACACCAGACATTTCACCAAGGCTTATATTTTAAATAAAAAACCCAAAATATCCCATTTGTAGAATTCTAAACAAACTAATTCTTTTTTATTTAAGTGAGAAAATGAAAACGTGTTTTTCTTTTCTTGTCTTGCTGAGTCAGAAGGATGACCTTCTATGAGGCCACGGTTGGGTCGCACTACTTTTTTTAATTTGGAGTTCGAAACTTGCAAGCTTATTAGTTATATCAAATTACGCCAATCCACCAGGAAACATTTTGCACCATCCGAACACCCATCAATCTTCCTGCCTGAGACGAACATTTCCCCGGGTCCGTTTTCCAACCAGCGCACGCTTTCTCAGCAACATTACGTCTCACCTAATAGCTGTTTGAATAAAGAACTGGTGCAGCATGTATTACACAAATAAATCACTGGTCCATGAGGTGGAGGGGTTAGAAACATAATTATTGATATGACACTAAACTTAGAGGTTTTTCTAGTTTTATTGCATGTTCTCCTTATGTTGGTAGGAAAATTAAATAATAAACAGCCTATTTTTGCTGTGGATCAGGAACTATTAAAAACTCCGCTAAAGCTGCTAAAAAATGCCGAATTCTGATAAATGGCTGATTGTGATGAAGGTGTCACAGGAATAAATGGTCTCCATTAAAATGTTTCTTTTTGCATACCTGGCTACTTTCACTGGACGTGGTCCTGTCACCATCTGTAGTCCTCTGCTTTCCGAGCGCTCCCGGCAGGATAGAGTGGGCAGTGGGACGCACCATGACCTGGGGCGGGCCCCCTGTGCTGCCCCCCACCTCACCGTAGATGCCCGTAGACTCCAGAGAATTTGACAGACGCACAGCTTTGAACTCGATTCCCTCCGCCCTCATGCCCGTCTTGTGCAGCATGTAGCTTGTTTCTCTGGAAACGGACGAGATGCCCATCACAGCCTGAGTCCCGGGCCCTGGATCTGACTCTTTCCTGAATTTGATTTTCTTCCTGAAGGCGATGAAGAGTATGAGGAGGAAAATGATGACGAAGGCAAGAACTCCGATGCCTATTATCTCTCCTGGTCCGACGTAAGACAGCGGCTCAGCCTGAAACATGAAAAGGAAAAGAAACAAAAAAGATAAAAAAGCACAGAAATATGGACTCAACATGTCTTATTTAGAGAGGAGAAAATCCAGCTTTTAGGGCATGAACAGAATCCACTTCCACTCAGAAACTGAGCTTAAAAACTCATAAACAGATAAAATATTTAATTTAAAGGTGGAAAATTTGTTGTTTTTTCTGTAAAGTGAATGCATTTTCATACTTTTATCAGATTAAACTGTTATTGCTCCTGAATATTATTATTATTATTGTTGTTGTTGTTGTTGTTGTTGTTGTAACATCCAGCAATGGTCAGTTTAGGTACAGTTTGACCTTTCAACATCTAATCAACATCTGGTCAGAAAGGAGACACAACATTGCATGTGTTCCCTTTAAATGAGCCTGCCTTCATACCAGCTGGGACTCACAGACTCTGCAGCTCTGAAAGATAAACAATAACTTTCTTTCCCAAGGTCCCATCTGGCTGCCTCCACAGAAGGAAGAACTCCAGGTCGAATCAATTGCTAAATTCAAGAATGATTTCCTAAATCAATATGAACTACTTCTATGACTTATTATTATTCATTTATTTATTTAACTTATGTTTTTCAGGAGGATAAACTGCTTGAGATGTAACATCTCGTTTTCGAGCAGGTCCTTCTACAACACAACCTAGATAATCTAGATAATCATTAAATAAACAATTTGTTTATTATTACTTATAATAATTATAGTATAATGAAATGCTTCATTAATCTGTGCTCACTGAATGGATGTTATGTTATGTGTCTACTAGAACCTGCCATGTGTTCAACATGTTTTGACGACGAGGTCCTCACACCTGCACTCACACAATAACAAGTACGGTTAAGTTAAACTCCAACACATAGAGACTTTTAAACCAGTCAGAACGTCCTGTATCAAGAAGGCGTGTTTCTGAGTTGTCTTGGTAACATCTCTCAAACTCGTCAGCCTCTGATTGGCTGTGCACGTGACGTCATAACATCAAAACCTTAAAACTGGATCATCCTGAGTGATTCGACAGTTCTAGAGAATCGCTTCAGGCCAGCCACCTGTAGTAAACCTCTTTAACCATCAAAGATTTTGGCACATTGTCACAACCTTTTTGCACCTGCAAAGCTGATGAGCAAACAGTTCCTGCAGCAACAAAGCTGATATTGTTAGACTCCTTAAGAGTCCGCCAGATGCACGGTTCCATCCAGCTGTTGTGACCCGAGACATCTCTGGACTGAAGAGTCGGTACCACGGTATTCTACAGCCCTCCGGTGCCAAATGTTAGCCGACCCCTGCGACTTTCGGATCCACCAAGAGGGTCTCTCAAAAACGGGTGAAGTAGACATGACAGATTGCGTCTCATGTGCTTCTGATGATAAGAACGTTTCTTTTGTCTGGTGAATCACTAAAAGTCTAATCCAGCATGGCAGCATCTCATGGAGCCAACAAGGAAAGCAAGGTGTGATATCAGCAGAGGGCTGGGAGCTGAAAAGCAAGGAGCTGCTGTTCTGGAGCTACCGCTAAGTGTGGGAACGGGAGGATCATCCGTCAACTGGGACGCAGTGGATCTATCTGAGCACCTGGGAGTGATTCAATTAACCCGGCGTGGTTCCATCCGCCTGGCCCGGCAGCGCAGAACCCGGCGTGGTTACGCCGGCCCTGCCCAGCGGCACCAAGCCTGACGTGGTTCTATCGGCCCGGCCCAGCGGTACCGAGCCCGGCGCAGTTCCATCGGCCCGGCCCAGCAGCGCCGAACCCGGCATAGTTCTGGCGACGGGTTCTAGCAACATCGACTCCGGAGGGGTCCTGCAGAGCCAAGCCCAACAACATTCATCGCGTCGCGGTGAGCACGGGACCAGAGGACGACAATTGCAGATGAGTGGAAGAGATGCCAGGAGGAAGAGCTGATGGACGAGGTAAAGAAATGGTCACAGAAAACTAAAATATCTAAAACTATTGCGCAGTTACATAGAGCAAAATGGTTTTATATATATATATATATATATATATATATATATATATGTGTGTGTTTGTGTGTGTGTGTGTGTGTGTGTGTGTGTGTAGAAGAGAGAATATACAAAATTTTGCAATACTAAAAGTTAGACAATATTTGCAATTTTAAGCCAGAACTTAAAATTAAAACTCAGGTCCGGCACTTTTAAAACACATCCAGTGTTATCACAAGACCTTGTTCCATCAGAATGAAGGTGGCAAAAACTGTTGCCGAATAGCCGTCAGACTTTGAATTGCACCAGGCAAAATAATTAAAGAAAATGTTTTTATGTAAACCCTCAATAAAAAAATACATACACTGCTTTCAACACAAAAGCACAAAATATTGAGATACTTCAGTGTATCGTTGTTTTCCTACATCTCCCCTTCTATAAAAGTATTATCAGAAAAAATCGGTTATCAGATATAACAGCGATTTTAATATCTGATATTGATATCGACCAACATTTTTGATGCATCCCTGATACGTGTGTGTGTGTGTGTGTGTGTGTGTGTGTGTGTGTGTGTGTGTGTGTGTGTGTGTGTGCACATTGCACCAGTGGTCCTTGATAGACTTAAACTAGACTGAAGTCTCTATAATTTCATTAAGAAAGGACACACCTGTTTCTTTAACACTTTGCTGTTGGCTGGAGTCAAACACAATTAATGAGTTCAGGAAAATCATCTGAAAATCTTTAAGATGTGATATTGTTACGATTTGAAGAGAATTTAACTAGTTTGTGCTCAAAAGCAAAGTACCGTAGTCTCCTTCATTCTGAAGTGGAAAGACTTTCGAACCTTTTGTACACGCGACACAGACACCTTCAGAAAGTTTCCGAGTGGCCAAATGAGGTGCTAGTTAATTTGTTAGAGCTGACATTCCCCCCCTTCCTTCCATAGTAAAATTCTGCCATTTGCCAGAAAAGCTCGTTAATGGTTCTCGTAACATCAGAAGGAAAATAAACATGAGAATTTTCAAGGATGCACATGGATAAAACCAGAGGGTATCATTCTGTGAGATTGAGTCTCCACTTTAGGGAAACTGACAGGAAAAAGGATGAAAGTCTGGATATGAAGAGCAATTCTGAGTTAAAATCTTGTCTAAAGGGCTGAAGATCACGTGCCAAAACAACAACTAGAACTCCACCACGGGAGCTGCTTTGAGACTCCGGGAAGGCGACCAAATCGGTGCCTGGACCTGATCCTAAAACAACTTTATTTGGAACTAAATGGAAAGTTTCATGGAATAAAGGTGTCAAACTTCTGGGACCATTACGACAAAACCTAACGATGCTGCTCTGAAGCAAAAGGTCTTTTAAACAAGTTTTTACCTCATGTGATACATATGCAAATGATAGATAAAAATTAGTATCTTTTTAAAAAACATCAAAAGACTGTTTTCTTATTTATTTATTTATTAGTTCCTTGTTTAATAAAGGTGGTAGGCATAAAATGAACTGAATTTATTTGAAGATGACTCTGACACAGTAATATAAAAAACTTAAAAGGGTCTGAAAATTTCACATGTTCTGTGTTATGCATAATAAAACTCACAAGCATAACAACTTCAAATAGAAACTGTAATTTACTCATTACCCCACTCTCCTTCATCTGCTGTGAGGGCGAGGACACAAAGCTGGCGAGTGTGCCTACCTGACGCAGCTTCAGTTTGTGTTTAAACTTCAATTAGGTGGAAGCTGAATCACTTGGATTGTTGTTAAAACTCTACCTGCGTGTCGTCCCTGAGGGTCTGATCGTCACAAAACTGGCCCTCGTGCCCTTCGGAGCAGTTGCAATAGAACGAGCCGAACGTGTTGACGCAGTCCCCCCTGGTCCCGCAGTCGACCTGCTCGCACTCATTCACATCCGTGTCACATCTGTGGAGGCAAAGACAAAGAAATTACTATGCGTGGCAGCAGCTGAGAGGGTTTGTTTCAAAGTGAACGAGAAGAATGGAAGATTAAAGCATGTCAGTGTGTGTTAAAAAATAGAAAAGAGAGTTTAGAGATCAACTTTTTAAGTCGGACGTTCGGATGCTGAATCAAGGGATTGTCTTTTATGGATTCCTCATTATCTTCATTTATATGGTTCTAAATGAAAAGGAAATATGCTCGAATGCAAAAACTCACACGTAGATGCTAAATTCCAACAGAAAATCACAAATGTAATTTCACTCTGCATTCACACACAGAGCTTTTCTAAATCAAACATGGTGCCAAGCTGTGAAGGAGAGAGAAAATACAAGCAGTTCTCTTTTCAATTATTTTTTTTCCCTCTTGATGGAATTTTTCAAAATGCGTCACAAGAGTTATTTTTTTTTCTTTCTTTTTGGATGAAAGAAGAAAAAGCATCTTAGAGGAAGATTCTAACTGTTCAAACTTTTTTCTTTGCAAAATAGAAGTGTAAGGAGCTGTTAAAGCTGCATTGGCAGATTTGGAAAATTTGCTTTAAACATATTTTTTTTTATACCGCTTTACGTTCGAACATAGTTTAGCTATAAATATATAGTGAAGATTAAAATTAAAATGATAAAAATTAATAAAGTGGTTCTCTGTCATTTGTCTAAAAACCTCCGCCAATGACATGGCTTGAACTGAAAGCAACCTTGTTTTCCTGTGTATTTAACAACAGAACACCACTGGTGTGAGAGGTTTACGGCTCAATTATACCAGAGAAGGAGAAACAGTTGGCTGCTACCACTTCAACTTTAGGACAAACTACCAGAAGCACAAATAGAAAAACACCATTTGAAGTCACGGACAACTAAACACGTATGGACCTAGAAAACGGCGACTGGTGTTTAGCACACTCTTGTTTCGTCCAGCATCAAGGGTTTTCGGTTCCGGCAGTAGCGTCTCAGATAAGATATCCAAAGGGAGAATTACAACCTCGTGGGTCATTGTGTGGGAAATCAGGGCGGTCTACCTCATCCTCCTGGCTGATAGGGGTAATGTAGAACACCTGAGGAGTTAGCCTTTGGAGCGTTAGTTTCAAGATTTTTATTAAAATACTCTTAAATTTCAAAATCATGTTCAGATTCCATTTTATGTTTTGGTCCCTCGGGCCAGGTCGTAACATTAATTGGGGCTCGTCCGGGATTTAAACCCAGGTAGTCTTGGGTCAATGTGCTGATCAGTAAAGTGTCCTCATACACAATGCAGTAAGAACTATACAAACCCGGCAAGCTGTTCATAAAAAGCTATTTTCCTTTCCTTAATCAAGAACTACCCATACCCAGACCTGGTTACCACTAGACATGTAGACATAAAGGAATGTCTGTCAAAATTAAAGAAGCTAAAAGATCTCAAAAAGCAACACATTTTGCACTATTGTAAAGAAATTCCAGAACACCTAACGTCCTGTATATATATATATATATATATATATATATATATATATATATATATATATATATATATATATATATATATATATATATATATATATATATGTATCGTATTTTTAAATGTATTATTTGATATTGCGTTTATTTAAAATGTAAATTTCAGAAATCTGCATGGAAAACAAGCTAATAGTCATTTACCCATTGTCATCATGACTTAAATGGTAGTCACTAAAAAGAATAACCTTCATTGTTACTATTTCTTCAATAATTTAATGTTTTTATGTGTTTTATTTGTTTTGAAATTTGTGTCAAAATGTTTATCTACTTAAAGTTTCAAAGGATAATTTAGAATTTTTCACAAATAACAATTAAATTTTTAATTAAATGCTAATAAAATTCAGTTGATCATTTGGCAGACACCAGATGTTATTATGGAAAAAAATCTATCTTGATTATAGCAACTCAAATTTGTTTTAATGTAATCCAGTATCTGCAGCAAAGCTTTTGCATCTGTAAAAACAGACATCCCCTTATTATAAAAAACTGCCCTCTCGTGGCGGCTCTAGTGAACAACCACTTGAGCATAGAGGTTATTTCAAAGGCAATTACTGAGCTGTAATTGAGAAGGCGAAATGTGACTAATTACAGGCTTTTCGACTGAGAACTATGCTGAATTAAATTATAAACACCAATTTATCCCTCACAATAACAAGTAAAACAACAACAGTGGATTCTTGGTGTGAGCTGATGGATTAGTGTGTAAATGTAGGCAAACAACTATCTAAATGGTCGTTTTAACACACAACGTCCAATGTGAAAATGTGAACTCATTCCTGTGTGTGTATGTGTGTTAGGTTATTTTTAACTTACATAAGTCCCCCGAGTCCTCTCGGACAGCCACAGAGGAACACGCTGCCTACAAGCCTACAATCTCCCCCATTCAGGCACGGGTTTGGCTCGCAGGACGTCATTTCAATTTCACAGCGCCCTCCAGTGAATCCACTGCTGCAACTGCACATGAAGCCTGTTGGACACAAATTTGAAATGAGTCTTAATGATATACTGTAAATGAACAAAGACGGCTGACAAATACATTAAAAATCATTTAAACGGAATGAAATACTGACATTTCTCCAGAGAAAAAATGTGTATGAATGATGGATTTTTGCATGGGTGCATGCAATAATTTGGTTAGATTATAAATAGTTGTTATACATATGGCAGTTCTTAGTTGCATGAGTTACTTAAAAAGTTGCAGGAATAACAATTGACCAGATGAACAGACCTCCGGAGGGCAGGCTGCTGCAGATGGCTCCGTTGAGGCAGGGTTGGCTGATGCACAGATCTGGATAAAGAAAACAACCCAGCTTGACCTCGCTGAGCCCGGCTATCTCAGCATAACGGCTCCTCTTGTTTTGGAGTGGCAGCTCATTACCGTTCAGCACCAGCGAGCCCAGGCAGCCCTGGAAGCTGTCCTGGGCTCTCGGAGGGCCCCCTCCTTCACGGTCACCTGCTCCTGGCCGTCCCTCGTCTTCCTCAGGTCCAAGGCCAGGCTTCACGACTCGACCACCCAGTGGCCTCACCTGAGCCCCAAAGAAAAATGAGGAATCCGGAGCCAGAGGCCAAAGACGGACGGGTGCTCGAGCTGCTCGGCGGCGCTCCACGTAGCTGTCGTCCAGCGATAGCAGGGTATAGTTTCTGGTCAGCTCTAAAGCCACCAAGTGCCAAAGGCCATCATTTATTGGTCTGTCGGAGATACCCATAATGCCGAGGGTGTTATCACAGTCCAACTGGAACCAAAGTCGACCTCCTTCAATCTGAAATTATGCAAAAATAGTTTCATTTTACTTTTTCTTCCAAATAAAGCAAATCTGGGAGCTTTCCAAGGAGAAGTGCAGAAAGGCTGCAGCTGGGTTTATATTTTACCTTCAGCATGGTGCAGGGGTTGGCTCGTGTGAACATAATGACACCTTGTCTCTGGAGTGTTCTTATCCTCAGGCTGAGTCTCATCTCACCACTCTGGCCATTTTCCGTCACTCTGTACTTGATATAACTGTTTCCAGAGAAGCTCAGAGAGGTTTGACCTGCTTGGGCAGAACACACAGAGGGGAGGAGGGTGAGTGTCCGCCGCACATGAAGGAAGATGTTCAATTACGCTCGGGTCATCGATCCGAGATGAGCAGAAGGAAACGGTGAGCGGTAAATAATGATACCTGCACACTCGAGCATTCTCTCCGGCTGACACTGGCAGACAGATGGCGCTGTTGGACCAGAACGGACACATTGCATGTCTGCCGGACAGGACTGACCTTCACAAAGCTCCAGAGGAGTTGGACATGTCCCTCCTGAAATATGAATAATAGAATATATATGTATAAGACTAATAAATATCTGCATCTCTGATGTATGGTTTTAAATCAATTAAAGAACATTTATCACAATTAATTTAATGTTTCACGTCAGAAAACTACAGATTAACAAAAACTATTATTAAAAATACTTATTTTTTTCTTAGTAGACTGCATGTCTCACCTGGACAGGTGCAGGTCTCTGTACGTCCAAACCTCGGCACCACCAAACTCATCCTCTCTGTGTTGTAGGTAACAGGCAAGCTGCCCTCCTTCGTAAACGAGTTTTCACACACCTGGTCCCCACAGTCCAGCTCTCCAGAACACGCACTGCCCACCACAGCTGCCCCAGCCAGAACCCCTCTCATCTGGCCCCGGGCTGCAGCCTCCTCCAGCTTCGCCAACAGCTCTGGCTCAGAGAAGAACCCCTCCATCCACCCGCTGACAGACGTCTCCGGCTTCTCCACAGCCAGAACCAAGTCAGTGTTAGACGTACCCCTCACTGGTTGCACGCTGAGGATGTGAACCGGATCCTGTTGCCCTGGTGACCACTTCCAGCCAGCTACTGTCCGTAGGGTTAATTTAATCTGGTTTAGGTAGCGACTAATTAATTCTTCGCAGGAAAGAGAGCTGAACCTTAAAGTCAGGGCACTGCGCAGCCAAACATCTGTCACCTGTTCGACCTGCACAGACACGTCAGCTATCACAGCGAACCGCCCGTCACTCACGGTAGCGTTTATCTGGTACCTGAAAGAAAACATCAAAACTTTGAATCGACGAGAGCTTTCCATTTCATATGTTTACATGTGATTGTGTTTGTGTGAGTATACCTCCCAGGTTCAAGGCCTGGCAGAGCTACAATGCTCCCATCTTGTCTGTTGATCTTAAACATGTTGTTAAGATCCGGCTTCTGGGTGAATAACAAAATGTCATTGGGATCGTGATCTGTTGCATGGATCCGACCAATTGGACCACCTGGGAAAGTATCCGTCAACATGGTGATGAGTATTTCCAGGGGTGAGACAGTTGGCTTGTACTGGCTGTTCCCGATGACTCTTAGGAAAACCCAGGTGGAGGAAGTCAGGCTGGGCTTCCCAGAGTCACTCGCCTAAAACACCAAAAGAGTCAAACATAACTAGAAATGAAGGAATTTGGAAAAATGCAACAGATGTGCTACAGATAAATTAGACCCAGTTCACAATGCAAGACAATTGTGCCGATTTTTGACCCGATCCTCCACTTCTAAAAATCTTAAGGATGCCCCTACCAACTGAACTGAAACAGCTCTAAAGATAATCTCATCAAACATTCCTACCATGTGTGGTGGGTTAAGAGTGCTCTGGTCATGTTTGATTCTCTTGGTCTGATTTTCTAGAACGAAGAAGCGTCCGGCATGTTGCATGTGACATGTAGCCAGTCAGAAAACATGGTGACGGAAGCACACAGCACACTCTTCCGCTGCAGTTTATTTTATTTATTTATTTTTTTGTCAAAGTCTTAAGTAATCTTGGGAGATTTTAGCCTAGAAATCTAGACATTAGTAATAAAAGCAAAATATTTTTATTGGTGTAGTTTTTACCTGTTGTCTGTTCCTGCACACCACACACTATAGAGCCAAAACTCTTATATCTGTGATATATATATATATATATATATATATATATATATATATATATATATATATATATATATATATATATATATATATATATATATATATATATTATCACCACAACATTTTTATACCATGATTTTAAAATCCTGCCGTGTGAACCGGTCTTTAGAGATCAAAACACCATCTTCAATCTTTTCCTTTTGATGTCTCCCTTCAGGAGTCAGCATGTGAATTATCTGGCTCCATCGAACCCAATCCTCAGCCTCTACTCTCCTACCAATTAGCAATCATTTCCTCTTTCAAGAGATCAATTTATGATGTTTATTTCTATAATTAAATTCTCATTCTATAGTCATGACCTGTTTGGATTTTTTTTCCACAAATTTAATTAAAATGTAATTAAACTTTAATATTCACATTGTTGTATTTATTCATATTTTTTTATCTAAATATATATAAAACTTTGAAACAATCATTGGTTGTTACTATATTAATGAAGTTTTAAAATCCTCCATCACTAATGACAATTCATTGCTTGAAGCTTTGAGAGCATTTTGCCTTCTTTTCTCTTATTTTACTTAATTTATTTAGCTGAAAAGCAATTTTCATTCAACTCTGCAGCATAACAAGCGCTTTAGAAAAACATTTTAGTCCAATAATATTGAATGTAAACTCCCTGTAGGTTTGGAAAAACTAAAGCAATGGTTAATTTGATTGTTATTATTAATTTAAATTGAATTAAAATTAACTTTTTCTAACTTTAATGTTACTTTTAATCTTAATTGTTTTTATAAAAAATTTTACTCTTCCCTATTAAGTAATTATTCTTTATTCAACAATCAAACATGAATTCTTACCTGAATTTCCACAACGAATTCCCTGGGTGCATCCGGGCCAAACACTCGGTTGGACCTTAGAGTTCCGGTCTGATCCAAACTGAAGAAGCTCCCCTCGTTTCCGGACACTATCCGAAACACGAAGGGTGGACCATTTCTAGGGGAGTCTAAATCACTCGCTGAGAGCTTCAGCAGGGTGGCACCAGCAGCCTGGTTTAGCTGGAAGTACAGGGCTGAGATGTTCAGGTGATTTCAAAGCAAATATTAAACTCAGGGTGTGAACATACACAGACGTACCTGCATGACAGCTGTGGAGTTGGGAGGGGAGAAGATAGGAGGGTTGTCGTTAACGTCGGAGATGTCGACGTTAACGACGACCGTGGAGGACATGGCAGGAGAACCGCTGTCGAACGCCTGCACAGACAGGGTGTACCTGGAGACCTACAATAAAAAATGCCATGGTTTAAGTTGTATGCATCAGATAAGAAAAAGATTCATGTTTGGTTTATAAAAGACTTGACAACATCTTTTACTTATAATAAGCTTAGAAAATTTCCCTAAATCGCAAACCTAAAAGAAATCATTTTTGACTACTGACCAGTTCTCTGTCGAGCCTCTTGTTGACTTTAAGCACTCCTGAAACGGGATCAATCCAAAACTGGTTGCTCCGGTCCCCTTTAAGAATAGAGTAGGTGATTCGCCCGTTCACCTGGCTGTCCAGATCCTCCGCAAATACCTTCAAAGCAATGAATTACATTTTATGACTTGATGGAGAGAGAAGATGGAGTTATAACCATTCTTGTAAAATATGAGATTTTCAGAATTCAGAGTATGTGTGAGATTACTCTCAGCTAGCATCATCCCAGTTGTCATCTCAAAATGTGAAATGGTAGCCAATTTTTTGTGTTTGCTAATGTTGATGATCTGTGGCATCCATGTTGGATTTGGTCAGGATGAAGAGCACTAAATGTTACCCTGGTAACGGTCTGTCCAACAGGTGCATCCTCGCTGATTAGTACGTTGTAGATGTCCTGATCGAAGACGGGAGCATTGTCGTTGACATCCATGAGTTGGATGATCACCATGGTAGCGGTGCTGAGAGGGGGGTTCCCACTGTCCCAGGCCTCCACAGTGATGTAGAAGTCTTTGCACACCTCAAAGTCCAAGTCATCAGTCACAGATATGGTGCCTAAGCAAACAAAATCAATTCAATAGAATAGAATAGAGCTTTATTGATCCCACCCATCCAGATTTGACGTACAGAACAGACACATAACAGTGATTTTCAAAGGTTTATCGTTCTTGGATGCTTTAGATTTATTCATTTTGTAACGTTACCAAAACAGCTATTTTGATTAAAGGGGTCTTTTATATAATAACTTTAATCTAACAACCCATCAAAAGAAAAGCCACTCACCTAATTTACTGTCAATGGTGAACTTTCTCAACTCGTTGCCTGTGCGAAAGTTGTAGGTGATTTCAGCGTTTGGTCCAATATCGTCGCTCGTTGCTAAAACACGCAGCACCTCAGTTCCCACGGCGACATCCTCAGGGACAGTAACAGAATAGTCCCTCCTCTGAAAAACTGGAGCATTGTCATTCACGTCCAGGACCAGAATGGTCAAATCCACCTAAGAAGCACAGAGAAAACTCACTTATGGCTACCCTTGTTTCTCTCACTCTTCCACTATTTCCCATCTGAGTTGCAGCTCAGTTTATTGACAACCTATCTTAATTAAGATCTACCCACCTTCGTTGTAAAATCTAATCTCTTTGGTAAACAAAATGATTTTATTTGTTGACTTATATATTTTTATCCAAGCTTCAAAGACTGCATTGGTCCAAGTATGTGCATAAAACTTGAAAATGTTGATGCTGCAAACATAACATGTGATGTTTAAGCAACACTAAAGAGTTTTTAACACTTTAAACCACCATGAACTTGAGCAACTTCACACTGGACAGCTCACTGTAGCTGTCTGCAGACCAGAAGCTGCATTTAAAGTCTAGTGTATACTTCTCTGTCTGAGGAAGTGCGAAGGCTCTCCGACAGGCATGCCCAATTTTTTAACTATCTGTTAAAAGTGACGGAGACAGTAAGCCTGTGATTGGTCAGGATCCTGCTTCCTTTAATTTCATCAACAGCACCGCCAACCCCCTGGAAAGCTGATAAAACGAGAGTCAAAGATATCAACAGGGAGCAGGTTGTAGAACGTATCGCGGAAAAAGTCAGATGATATGAATGTTAATCCAACCATGACTGAATTAATACAAAGATAAGAAACAAACATTTATTCGTGGAAGGAAATTTCGGGAAACGTGGGTTTGGAGGTGGTAACTGCATGGAGAGGTGGAGGAAAATGAGGGGCGAATGTCGTTCATTGCCAGCCCTAGCTGCAGCCAGGTTGTAATTCCACTTTCAACCAGTAGGGCGGAGAAGCTGGAAACTTTCTCTTTTTTTCTCTTTATTTGTTTCATTCAGTGTAATATATATATATATATATATATATATATATATATATATATATATATATACTAACAACAAAAAACATGCATAGACATGAACACTAAACTATTTGAATGAAAAGGGGTAGAAGGAAGAAATATCTTATATTATCTGCCCCATTTACAAACCCAACTTTTTAATAATGCGTCCATACAATTCTCAATAAAACAAAACAAAACACAGATTCATTTTATATTCTTTTAACTTATAGACCTAATCAGACACCAACTGAATTTAGGTTATTGTAGTTCTGTAATACATTTGATTTGATACATTTTTAAAATATATTTAGTGACTTTGATTCTATTATGTCTTTGGTAAGGTTGTTCCATATTCTCACACCATTTACAGAGATGGTCATTTTCTTCATTCTGGTTCTAAATTTCGTTTTTTTAAATACTTAAATTCCTTTTAAGAAATAATTACTGACTCTTTTTTCAAATATTTTCTGAATGTTGGTGGGTAACGTATTGGTTTTAGCTTTATACATTGTTTGCAATATTTTCATATTCACTAGATCATAAAATTTCAGTAGTTTATATTTGATGAATAAAGGATTGGATGGATCTCTATAGTGATTGTTTTTAATGATTCTCAATGCTCTTTTCTGTAGAATAAACAGTGGTTGTGTATGAGTTTTACATGTGGATCCCCATATTTCTACACAGTAAGTCATGTATGGAACAATTAGTGAGATATACAATGTCAGCAATCCATAACTATTCAGTAAAAACTTAACTTTATGTAGTACTGCAATGGCTTTGGCAATTTTACCTCTGATATAACCTATGTGTGACTTCCAGGTGATAGCTTCATCAAACGTGACTCCTAAAACTTTCGTTTCTTTCACCCTTTGAATGTCCATTCCATTTATTTTTATTGTTACATCTTTGTTGTCTCTGTCATTAAACAATATAAAATTAGTTTTATTAAGATTCAGTGAAAGTCTGTTTATGTCAAACCAGTTGTTAACTTTTATCAGTTCGTCGTTTATCACTCTAGCTACTTCATTAATGTCTGACCCTGAATAGAACAATGTTGTGTCATCAGCAAATAAAACAGTACAGAGTAGCTTAGATACACTTACAAGGTCATTAATAAATAGTATGAACAGTTTAGGTCCAAGGACCGACTCTTGTGGCACACCATAATTAATCTCCCGCAGTTCTGATTTAGTGTTGTTTAGTTGGACAATTTGTTTTCTATTCTTTAAATAACTTCTAACCCATTGATGCGCCACACCTCTTATTCCATACTGATGTAATTTCTGGAGTAACCTCGAGTGATCGATAACATCAAAAGCTTTCTTCAAGTCAACAAATATACTGATGAAGTAGTTGTTATTGTCTATTGCTGTAGATATTTTGTCTATTAGTTCCATTATTGCCATTGCAGTTGAATGTTTGGTCTTAAAACTATACTGTTCATTATTTAAATTATTATTTTCTTCAATGAATTTATCCAACCTTGATACAAATACTTTTTCTATTATTTTGGAAAACTGTGGAAGCAGTGACACTGGCCTGTAATTGGAGAAATTGTGTTTATCCCCACCCTTAAACAATGGAACCCCCTTAGCAATTGTCATTGTGTAAGGAAAAATTCCTGTTGAAAGTGACAGATTACAGAACGGACCAATAACAGATTCTATTATAGCTTTTACAATCATCATATCCAATCAGTTGATTGTTTGTTTCCACAGCTTTTTACAATGTTCCTTATTTCTTCTTTTTCTACCTTGTCAAGGAAAATACTATTAACATTACAAACTACTGTCTTCAGTTTGTCTTCTATTATTGGTTTGTTACTTGCCAAATTCGCACCTACATTTACAAAAAAAATAATTAAATTCATTAGTGATTTCTTTAACATTATGAATGTCTTTATTCTCCTTGACAAAGTAATTAGGAATTACTGATTTTGTTTTATCTTTATTTGTCACACTATTTATTATTCCCCACGTAGCTTTTATGTTATCTTTATTCTAATTCAATAGTTCACCATAGTAATTCTTTTTTGCTTCCTAATTATCATTGTTAATTTATTTTTATATTTTTAATATTTGTCTTCAGCTTCTTTTATTTAGTGTTGCTTTAAAACCCAGAGTCCCGGCTTGTTTGCAAACTCAAACACGGTTCCTAGAAATTTGGCTTCAGAGGTTTTATGTTCTTTACATGACAGGTGAGATTTAATGGCATCAAACTAATGAAAATGAGAAAATAACTTTATTTCATAACAGGAGCAGCTGAAACAGTTTCAGTAGACAGATGCTAGAGTAGAGGTGGCATATCTGTTTGAGCAGATGAAGCAGTCCAAAACAAGCAAAAACATCCCTGGAGCCAAAAGCAGCACGCAGGGACCCCAAACGGTGTCTCAAACATCTGAGGTTGCTACTTGTCGCTAACACAACCTGACAGTACGCTGCACAGACATCAAGGTCTCAATTAAAACCACTTGAAGTTCAAAAAGACTCACCAGCTCTTTGGATTAAAACTGGTGTAAACTGGTTTTGTAATTGGTCTGCTTCTTGTGATTGGGGTGCTTTCTCAGAGTGAGAAATAGGCGTGAAAGCGTGTGAAGGGGTCAAAAATGCACATCTCACACATATTTGATTTATTATGAATCAACACATTTATTTATAATTTTCTTTTAAAATTTATGTATTTATCATAACCAATGCTATAAAATGTGTTGAACATAATAAATCAGCTGTAATTTCTTACTAACCTGTGACGACAGCGCCCCCTGTTGCCCAACTCTGTCAGTGGCCTGGACACGAACGCAGTACGAGTCTCGGCTCTCTCTGTCCAAGGATTTCTCTAGAACCACTATTCCCGTCACCGAATCAATGGAAAATAAAGCGTCGTGTGAATCCGCCAGGGAGTAGACGACGGTGCGGTTCAGACCTGGATGACACAGATGAGCTTTGATCATTTCGGATTGTTTGAATGGTTCTTTATTCAGCTCAGGTTTTCACACAATTCCCTGATGACTTTGAAGTTTGAATCTGAGTTTAGCACAATCCAATTTCTCCTTTTCCCCATCTAGCAGCTGCAGCTCACCTTCATCAGGATCGCTGGCTTGCAGCCGTGTGAGCAAGGCCTTAGGGGCGGCGTTCTCGTACACGCTAGCCAGGTAGTGAGTGGATGAGAACGAGGGGGCATTATCATTCACGTCCAACACTTTGAGGGAAATGTCAGATCTGCAGAACAACCCTCCCCCGTCGGTTGCCTGAGCGATGAGTTTGTAGGCTGGTGTCGTTTCTCTGTCCATCACGGTGGCTGTTCTCAACTCACCTGAAGACAAAAGCAGGACTTTAAATATTCACTATTGCTTTAAAAAAAAACATACAGACAAAATACTGTACCAGTGTTGGCATCCATGTAGAAATCCTCCACCCCAATGCCAAACAGGGAATATTGGATCTCTGCACTGGAGCCTGAGTCAGCATCCGTTGCTCCTACGGTCAGGATGCCCTTGTTGATGGAAATGTCTTCAGGAAAAGAGGTACTATACACCGCCTAGCACAGAAATAAAAAACTAATAATATCCCAAACCTACATAGGAAAATACATGTGTTAAATGTTTTTAAAGATCTATTTCACTCATATTTTCAATGCATTTGCAGTAGGGACGAAGGCCTTGTAACATCCTCTGAGGAATAAAAGCTCTTGTGCGCCTTTTTGAGAATGTAGAAGTTAGCTAGAGGAGAAACGAGCCTCAGACGGAAGAATGTAGAATCTTATTTCCTGATATTTGAACATCTCACCTTTGATTGGCTAACAGGAATGCAACTCTACCACTGGCTTTTTTACTTTTTAAAAACGTTGATGTTTTATCTCCACAAATAACACGAGCCTGAAGGAGTTCTGCCATGTGGTGGAGTTGCTAATGCTAACAATTTCTGCGAGATGAGACGTTCTCTGCTGTTTCCTGGATGCTAAACCAACAACGACGTTCCCCGCTGAGTCAAAATGGATGAGTCCATGAATGTTAAACGACAGTGTGACGAAGATCTGTCAGGCTTTTCTAATCCTAGAGTTTCATCGTCTGTTTTCCATGAGATGCTAATGCAGGAGATAGATGTAGGAGACTACTTTCATATTCAGCTCACATGAAAAACTCAGAGTGAGGGATTATAATCAGAAATAATCATTAAAAATGTTTTTTTTCAGTAATGTTAGTTTGTTAAAATCTGTGTTGCTTCCATTAACTTTGCCGTCAGAGCAAGATCTGACCCAGTTTCCATCCAACAGGTCCAGAGAGCAGAGCTGTACATAAACTGTCTTCCTGCTGACTCTCCTCTAGTATTTATCTGATATTTGGTTAACAAACCAAAGAGATATTGTCTAAATCATTAATGTAAGTCCACAAAAATACAAAAAAAAGGAAAAGAAAATAAGCAACAACGCCAGGACAAACGAGGAAGATATTTAGACACAAGGCTTTAGCAACAACTGCTACAACAGCTGTCATTAGCAATACTCTACCCAAATATGTGAATAAAAGACTTAAATCAGACGATAAATGCAAACTAGAGCAACCACTTTGCATTTTTAGAGGCTGGCTTTGCCTGGGAACAGGAAGACTATCACAAGGAGCATGGAAATAATCATTTAGCATTTTTAGGAGGAAATTTCCTCAACTAATTATGTGAAACTGAATACTAATAGAATAGACAGAAGAAGTAAGTCCCAGAAGATTTTTCAGCCCAGTTATCTTCACAACTCAAAACAATTTGCCTCTCACAGATCAGCTCTCGCAAATGTTTGAATCGCAAATCAGAAATAAGCACTAAGAGAAGCTTCGATTGATTTGTGTCATTTATTGTGTAATTTCTGCAGTTTTGTGTCATTTTTAAGAACTTAATCTCTTTATATTTGTTTAAATGAATTCACGGAGAGTTTTAATGATCACCGTGGGCCTAAAACAAAAAAAATCTACAACTTAGCAGAACAAATCCACTTTCCCCCTGCAGCCTCAGACCTTGTCATGAATATGTTAATTTTAACATTAACTAATGCTGTTATTTCCTGAGCCGAACCACCATTAAAATTAGCCAAAAGGGTGCTAATCAGCACGGAAACTAGGAGCTCTATTAATTATTTGTCAATCAGAAAATGAACATATCTTCTGAAATATTGGGTTGAGAAGGAGGATTAACATGAAGTGTACTTTATTTCAGATTTTTATACCAGCTATTTTATTAGAAGTTTTTTTAATTTAAAATTTGATAATATATATATTAAATAGTATATTGGATATGTTCCAGAACACTATTAATACTACCACTACTACTAATGAATCCATTATCTTAACTGCTTCATCCTGATTAAGGGCACGGGGGAGCATTTGCCTAACTCCTGCAGTCGTTAGACAACCTGCCAGTCCAGCAAGGACACACAACCACTCACACACTTACTCGTTTCACAACAAAAGACACTAAGGTCTACAGTTAACTGAACATGCATGGTCCTGGCCTGTGAGAGGAAGTACCTGCAGAAAACCCACCCATGCATGGAGAAAACATGCTAACTCTACGCAGAACGTCAACTGTGCCACCATGCAGTTTTATGAAGAAGATAAATCAAATATGCAAGCAGTTGAAATTATGAAGTTAAAAGAGGCCTAGAGTCATTAGTTCAATAAACCTAATCATGTCTAATGCTTCGTGAGTCGTTTTCAGTGGAAAGAAAACTCTGGCGCTCCTGATTCAAGAAGCAGAAGTTTTGTCAGAGGAATGGAGCACAAAAAACGGCAGGATTTGGAGTCTTGCGCTTCATGATATGCAAAGATCTGGCCTCTGATTGGCTAACAGCAACACAACTTTTCCCATGAATCCTTTTGCTTTTCTTTCTTGGTCAAAAATATGTAACATCCAGCATTTGAATTACAGGGGAGCTAGCAGGAGCATGGCTCCCCTGAAAGGGTGATGGGCTCCCCCGGAAGCCTTCGACTGACACACTCAGGGGGAGCTCGAGAAATGACCCCCCAACACACACACACACACACACACACACACACACACACACACACACACACACACACACACACACACACACACACACACACCTTGATTCTTACAGCATTATTATGACATACTACGGTCATTTTTTATTATTATTATTTAACACCAACCCATCCCCCACGCTCTTACAACATTCTCACTGGGCTCCCCCCACAAGCCCGTGTGTAATTCAAGCCCTGGCAGCATTCATGTCTTACCTTCAAAAATAACTCAAGCATGCTGTATAGTTGCTAATACTAAGGGTTAGCTTCTACTAGCCGAGACGCACTCTGCTTTCTCTTCGTCACTAAATCACCTCAGCTTTCTATGGCTGCGACCTCAGATGGACGAGTCCATGAAAGTAAAATTTACAGTGAGACGTACATCAGCGTGGCTTTTCCTACCCGAGTGTTTCCCTTCCATTTTATTTGGGCGGTTATTTCCAGAAATGGGGTAGAAGACCATTTTTCCTCATTTAGCACGAATGTGAAACTCAGTGTGACTGATTGCATTTTGAACAGAGCAGTGAACATCCTAGTTAAATACTTTTAAATAATAAAAAGATTATTTTACCTCATTTGCTTTAAGAGAAAAAGTTCTATTTCATCATGATGTCACTTAGTTTTGCAAAAGGCACCACGTTGCTTTGTTTTTTTTATTTTATTGACAAAACAAAAGACCAAAGTGACTGATTTTAGTGAACTGACCTGGTTGCAGACAGGACTGTTGTCATTGGCGTCCATCACAGTAACCTCCACCGCAGCGTGGGCGACGTACAGGCCGTCGCTGGCCGTGACGTTGAGCAGATACCAGTCCTGCTGCTCGCGATCCAGCAGCCCGCTGACGTAAACTTTCCACTCGCCCTGAACGACGGCGAGGCCGAACACACCTCGTTGGTTTCCACCTGGATAAAAAACAGATTAGACCTAAACCTTGTGAAAAATGAAAACCGACACCGTGATGCGTTGTAGCAGGTGGGAACAAACAAGCGTGAACTTCCCAATCCATTAGTGTTACTTTTACACACAAATGTTGCAGGAAATTTAATTACTGAGGAATAAGTGGAGCAGCAGCCATGGATGTTTTAATGTGGGACTTTTTACGACCGACTCCTCCATTAGCTTCATCTGTTTAAATGTCAGCATGCGGGGCAAAACCATCTCCTCTGCTGACGTAACACACGCGATTCAGTGAATGGGAAACATTGGGGTTATCATTAAGGTTAGCTCTGCACTGGAAAGGTTAAACAGTGTTTTATAACGCTAATAAAGAGAGTGACCACCCGGTTGTCGTTTCCATGTAATATACTTCTTGTAGTTTCATTTTCCACAGATTTAATTCAACATGAAATGATTGTGGTCTTTTTTTTTTTTCACCTGTGATGTAAAAGCTGACGAGGCGGTTCTGATCTGTGCCATCTCGGTCTTTGGTTCGGAGAATAGCCACCACCTCTCCCAGGGGGTCGCTCTCCTTAACCGCGCCTCTGTAGAACTCCCTCTCAAACCTGGGTGGGTTGTCGTTGACGTCCGACACGGTGACCGTCACCACGGTGGAGGAGGTCAGGGCCTGAGACTCGGCCAGGTCGGAGGCCACCACCTCAAAGGTGTAGCTGGAGCAGGCCTCGTGGTCCACCTGACCCACCGTGGTGATCCAGCCCGTTTTGCTGTCAATGACAAAGACAGAACTGGCAGTGACAGGGCTGTCCAGCGACGGAGCATCATCCTTCAAGTCCAGATTGTAGGTGAGCAGAGTCCCGAGGCTGTAGGTCACCTTTGGAGAAAACACGCATGTCTTTAAAAACCAGGAAAAGTCAAGTACTCAGCTGAAGTTTGCTGTCACCGACCTGCCCATTAGAGCCCCAGTCTGGATCAAGTGCACGCACTTGGACCACTCTTGTCCCTGCTGGCATCCCCTCCATCACCGTGGCGACGTAGGTGTTAGTTTCAAATGCTGGTTTGTTGTCATTCACATCAAGGATCTGCAAAAAGAACAGATTTAAATACTCCTCTACTTATCAAGAAAATGTTCAGCTTTAGTAAACAAAATTTACACAGTGGAGAAAAATCTGCAATATACTTTTTTATAAAGTCTTTAATGAAAAATAATAAAAATAATAATTAAAAGCCTTTGAGATCATAGTTGCTCTAAAGTTTGTATTTTTAATTGTTATGTTTTATTTAAATTGGCAAATAAAATAAAATCTTCACCCTAGAGTATATTAGAGGCATGTTGAGTTAAAACAATCATCATCTGAATTTTAAAAAGAAATATTCCAAGTACAGATCCTCCATTATTCTCTAAGAAAATCATATTTTCTTTTAAAAGAACTCCAGTTTTCTCTAATGTATTAAAAACAGCAACATTTCATGGAAAGAAATACAAAAACAAAGTTTATCATGCAATCTTTTACCTTAAGATTTGTTTTACTTTAATACTAATTTGTGCATATTTGTTTTTTTTTGTGTGTTATTGTAAATAAAGGAAAACTGCATTCACTGCACCATAATTCAATACTCTTTATAAAATACCAACTTGATAACATTTACACCAATATGTTGAGCCTTTTCAAGATGCATTATTAATTTCATTAATAATCAAGGTATGTTTCAAATAAGGAGTTTTGATGCCTCCTGTGGTGGAAACTGTATATATATATATATATGTATATATATATATATATGTATGTATATGTATATATATATATATATATATATATATATATATATATATATATATATATATATATATATATATATATATATACAGACAGACAGATGATAGATAGATAGATAGATAGATAGATAGATAGATAGATAGATAGATAGATAGATAGATAGATAGATAGATAGATAGATAGATAGATAGATAACACTGACTCAACACAATAATCTGAAAGATGCATTTATAGTTCTGATAGCTTCTCTTTTGGTTATCATACAAACATATGTATCAGAAAAACTTTGTCTTAAGTGTCATAAATCTAAAGAGACTCGAGCAGAGCGTGTTCATGTCAGAGACCTTAACTTCCACATCTACGGTTGAGACGGTTTCGATCAGGTCTTTTCTTGCTGTTGCTGCGACTTTAAAGCGGAAGATGCTGACTTCTTCGTAATCCAGTGGTTTGAGGAGACGGATGAGACCCGTCTCCTTCTCCACCAGGAAGGTTCCCCTCTGGTTGCTGTCCAGGGTTTCTCCAGGGACCGCGGTGAAGAAGCCTGTCTGCCCGGGGCCCATGTACACGGACCCCAGCACCGTGCCCTCAGCGGTGTCCTCAGGGATGGTGAAGGAGTACTGAGGCTGGCTGAACGAGGGGACGAAGGAGTCTGGCGGGACGACGTGGATGAACGCAGACACCAGTGAGTGTTTGGGTGGAGAGCCACAGTCTGTGGCTTTGACAAAGAAGGACAGGACGGTCCCCTGAAGATGGTCCACAGCACTTTTAGTCATCATCCATCCGCTGTCTGGCTCCACCTGTGGAACCACACAAAAAGGTCCTTTACAGAGAATCCTTGTTAACATGTCTATTCAAATGATTATCTTATCAACTATATCAAAGTATGTCAGCAAATGAAATCCTGACTAAGCGTTTTATTTAAGCCTGAGCTTGATGGGATTTAATGCAATAAGCCTTAAATTTTTAACGTGTCTTATCTCGTTTGCACCAATGTTCTCATTTTGCTCTTTACATGATTACAGTTATAAATCAGACACTAACCAGCACACCAACCTCAGAGCTGCGTCATTCTAATTTAATGGTAGAAATCTGTAATCTACAAAAAACAGATGGCCTTTAATCCTCTGAAACAGGGAGGGGTGTGTGCAGCTGGAATTCTAAACATACATGAATAAATTATCTGCATCACTGATGTTTGGGTGTTTTTTTCTGGAAGTTTAATCTGATGTGTGTTTTAATGTGCACTGACCTCCAGAACGTCTACCAGCGACAGACGGGCCTCGCTGTAAAGCGAGTAGGTTATCCTTCCATTAGAGCCGGCGTCGAGGTCGGTGGCCTGGATCTGTGTGACGAGAGAACCTTTGGCGACATTGGCTTTGATGCTCATTCGGTACTCGGCTGCTCTGAACCGCGGGGCGTTGTCGTTTTCATCTGCCAGGACCACTCGCACCGTGCAAAATGACGCCCGGCCTGAGAAATGTAACGTAGACAAAATGTGACACGTAAGGAAAATCGTTTGAGATCGTTTTGACTTGGGCGTGTTGGTCCGTGTAAGGTGATAATACCTCCACCATCCAGAGCCATGACCGTCAGCACCATGTCCTTGTTCAGAGGATTCTCTCGGTCTAATCTCTGGACTGTGGTGATGACGCCATCTGCGTCGATGCTGAACTGGGTTTTTCCCAGATCATTTATAAAAGAGTAGGTGATCTGTCCGTTCAGTCCAGCGTCTTCATCTGTTGCAGACACCTGCAAATCCAGTCGCAAATGCAGAAAATCATCTCCAGCATTTAGTTTTGCTACTCAGTAGAAAATAAAACCACTACCTGCATGACCTTTGACCCTGGAGGGGAGTTTTCCTGGACCTCTGCCAGGTAGAACCTCTGGTTGAACACGGGGCTGTACAGATTAGCTCCCAGGACGCGAATAGTCACCTGAAAACCACGGACTCAGATCATCCTCTGGACAGCTGACATTTTGCTGACGCCATCATAATAAGTACCACCGGCTGATTTGTCAAACATGATCAAATCAACATGAGCAACTGACCCGCGGGCGCCTGGCGAATGATATAAATGACAGACCACCTGTTGATCCTTACGGTGCAGAAATGTGGAATATCAGCATCAGTATCCCATTTCTAATTAGCCTGAGGAGATAAATGTGAGCACATTTTCCAGTTCGGAGCTCGTCCTCACAGTAAATCTGATGTGACACGTCACTAACCTCCTACAGAAACTTGCAGCTGTACTGTCAGATGTTTGCAATAATTTTAAATCTAGGGGTTGGTCAGTCGGCCGTCTGTGTGTGGGATAAGCGCTGCAAGGGTTTGAAATGAGGGCAAATGAGTGGAAAGGGCCAGACTGTACCTACCAGACGGGGGTTTACCTGAGCCGTGTTGGTGAAGACTCCGTCTGACACGGACACATTGAGCTGATAGGAGAGTTTCATGCCTTGTCTCCTCTTGTTAGACAGACGAAGCACCCCTGTATCCGGCTCCATCATGAAAGTCATTTTCTCGTTCCCTGAGAGGAGACTGTACCTGGAGGGGAAAAATAATAATAAATTAAGCGCGAGAGCATAAAATCCTGCATCATAAAAGTAGTTTCCTCGCTCCTGGGAGAATACTATAGATGGAGAAATAAAGTGGAATCTTGGAAGCGGTGTGTGGCATAGTTTTGCCGGGAGGACGCTAGAAGTGCACGTATTTGCTTCTCACAGGAGGTGGTGAACAAAATTAAGAAAAATTCATAACAAAACAAGATAGTCTAATAAGAATTGTGGTTTTTGTTTTTTGTAAATGTTGCTTTTGAAGCCTGTGTAAATATAGAAACTTAGGGCTGCGCCTATAATACTGGTTCTGTTCATCCTTTTCTTAAATTTTTATTATTAGAACATTTATTCTATTTTCGTGGCAATGTAAAAAAACAAAAATACAACAAAAAATGCCACAACAATTTAACATAACAATAATACTTTCCATGACAATAGAACACGAGTGAGATGAAGCACAAATGTTATGATCTCCCACCCATTCCTACTTCAGTATCGCTACAACCTTCGCAACCTGACCAACGCCAGAATACAATGTCATGGTTTGGTTTGATTTCGGTACAGTGTGGAAACAAAGTCGTTTTTATGTGTAAATGGTTACAACTTTAGAAATAGAAACATTGTCTAAGACCGTCCGATATTTTACAACCGTTCACTTTGGGACATCCTGGTAAACGAAGGACCGTCTGGTACTAACACCAGCCTACGTAGTAGATCGAGGGACGTAACCTGGACCCTGGATTCAGACACAGCCGCTTGCATCGCTGGTTAATGGCTAATTGTACACTAATGGCCACTCATAGATCTGATAACCAGTGCTTGAATTGGAAAATATCAAGATTTGGCACTGACGATGTGGCAGTGATGTAAAATGTGACCCCTCATCCACATGTGGCAATCTTTGGTCTTCCTAATGATAAAACACTATTCTGCTGACCAACTGGAGATTCTAGCCTTCACCTCTTTATTAGTTAGACGTCTTCTGCTTTTGAGCTGGAAATCTACCTATCCCCATCTACCACACACTGGACCAATGAAGTAATGTCATTTCTGAAAATTGCGAAGATCTGATACTTCAAACAGAGCTGCCCAGATAGATTTCACAAGAACTAGCAACCATTTTTCGACTTTTTCAAATCTCTTTGAGACCCCTTCAACACCTCATAACCCACCTACCCTTTTGTTCCCTTTGAGTGTGTGTGTGTGTGTGTGTGTGTGTGTGTGTGTGTGTGTGTGTGTGTGTGTGTGTGTGTGTGTGTGTGTGTGTGTGTGTGTGTGTGTGTGTGTGTGATGTCTGCTGTCTTCTATGTGTTAAAATATGAGGGGAAAAGATTCCTCGGTTTCTGTATTCAATTCTCTGTACCTTTTGTGGAACATGGTCTTCTAATAAACACATTAAAGAAATGTGGCCCATCGTGGAGCGCATATTTCGGCTAATCGGGAGAGGTGGCGCTGAGGGGGACAGTGGAAGGCTGCTGTTTAAGGATGGACAGATATTCTTCCACAAATCTTGGAGATTTCGACTAATAAATGACTGGAAAAACTACCGGTATGCATCATGCCCTAGAAAAACATCCCAGTATGCTGAGAGGTGGTAGTACTGCATACTTTTGCTTACCAGCCCACTTATAGCATTGCTGATAACTGAGCAGAACGTAGCAGCAAAGCTAGCCATCTGCATAGCACTTCCTGTTTTTCTATGTTCAACGCCTCCTGTCAGATGGTTATTACATATTTTTGAAATAACTGTTTTACGCAAAACCAACAAATTCATAAATTAGTGTTTGCATGAATTTCTGTGACAGGATTGGAGATGTTTTAGTAGGACAAGTCTGCAAGCTGTTTAGCAGTGGGCTTGTCTGTCTGGTCAGAACCGATCTGTTTCTCCAAGCTTTGCTCTGTAAAGGGCCTTGGGCCTACCGGCCAAATGGCCCATATAGGGCAGCAGTAGCTCAACAGGTTGAGCGGGTTGTCCAGTAATCGGAAGGTTGCAGGTTCGATCCCGGCTCCGGACAGAGAATTCTGCTGCTGTGTCCTTGGGCAAGACACTTAACCCACCTTGCCTGCTGGTGGTGGTCGGTGAGACCGGTGGCGCCTGTGCTCGGCAGCCTCGCCTCTGTCAGTGTGCCCCAGGGCAGCTGTGGCTACAATGTAGCTCATCACCATCAGTGTGTGAATGTGTGTGTGAATGGATGAATGATACACTGTAGTGTAAAGCGCTTTGGAGTCCTTACTCTGAGAGGCGCTATACAAGTGCGGGTCATTTGATATGACTCTTGCTGTGATTTGGTGCTACATAAATGAGCTGAACTGAATTGTCTGTGACAGGTGAGATACTGACACATCTTTGTATTTTACTTCACTTTTACCATTTATAAAATATTGTTATTTATTTGCCTTTTTTAATCCAAAAAAATTAGAACTAAGCTGAATATAAAAATGTTTAAAAAATCTCCATCTTCGCCAATGCTGGAGAATCCTCTGAGTACTCTGAGGGCAGCAAATGGCCCACAGGCCACACTTTGGACCCCACGACTTCCAAAGTTCTAAATCTTTTAACAGTAGTTTGAGGAAAATAATGAAAATTTCCACTAAAAATATAAAAAAGATGATGTGAAAACCTAATTCATTAAGTCCTTAAGTATTTCACTTTCTCACCTCAGCCTCTGAGAGTCACAAGTGTCGGCGTCTGATGCCTGGAGGCAAGTCACAAAGTGTCCCCTGGGAGCCAGGTTGCTGACAAAAGCCTCGTACAGCATTTGACTGAAATTAGGCGGGTTGTCATTCGTGTCGGTTACAACCACACTGACGCTAACATCACTGCTCAGGGCAGGGTCTCCGCTATCGGTCGCTCTGACAATGAAGTTATGGCGCTGCATGAGCTCGTAGTCGAGCATGCGAGCCGTGAATACCAATCCCCTGCTGCTGTCGATTTGAAAGTAGTCGGTGCTGTTGTAGATGTCAGATAGGATCTGGTAAGTCACTGCAGCATTCTTCTCTGAGTCCTGGTCCTGAGCACAGACCTACAGGGAGAGAAACAGGACATTTTCCAAAGCCTTGTGCATTATTCCAGCCTGATTTGTTTACCTTGACATATTCAACTGAGCAAACAGTGACCAAAAGAGAAAAAAATAAAGATAAAACACGAGTCTCACCCAGCGTCTCTGACAGGATAATTCACTCCAACACCTACACGTTGTTTTGGTTCAGTGTGTTCAGATTTATAGATACAAGCTGTCACGCTGTTTGCTTTTCTTTTCAATATGTTGTAGCTGGATGTCACTCCGTTCCGGAGCTTGCAGCACCAACAAACCACATATTTTTTCTAAGATTGAGGAAATACTCAAGAACATTTTAGAATAAAACTTCTGTAGCAATTTTGTGTTCTTTAAAACTCTTGTGCTTTTACTAAAATCCAACGTACACATGTTTTTTTAGCATCCGGCCCACGCTGGAACTGGTTCGTGTGCAAAAACTACAACACTTTTCAAACCTGTACTAGATTATTACTAATAGCAGATTGCATAAAACGTAGTTTGTGATTTGTGAAACCTTCTTCTGATTTATGAAAGGTCAAAAAAGCCAGATTTATGCATTATTTATTTATTTATTTATTTTTGCATCTGGCTCAACAACATCCTAACCCGAACCAGTTCCAATGTGGGCCAGATGCTAAAACAATGCATAAATCTGGCTTTTTTGAAGTTTCACAAATCAGAAAAAGGTTTCACATATCACAAACTGTTTAACATAATCAACGATTAGTCTAGAATGATCTAGATCCGGTTTGAAGAGTGTAGGTGGTGTAGTTTTTGAGCTTGAGCAGATTAAAGATGGTCAGAGTAGAGAAAAACTGGGTGCAATTGCCCTTTAGCCATTTCCCCGAATTGGAAGCTGGAATCGGAAGCTAACTTCAGATTTGTGAATTTCCCTTTTTAAACGCCAGAGGGAACCGGGGGACGGAGAGAGAGGGAGCAGAAAGACGTTGGATAAAGAAGGGAGGAGGGGGGCAGGGGTGTTACGCTATGGTAAGGCAGAATTGTTTCTCTCCGCTTTTCTACGATGATTGGCTTAAACTTCATCACCACGTTGCTGAGTCATGCTGTCAGACATGAGTATCACACGTGCACATTTGCTACAGGACTCACGTGTCTGCAGCTTTTTGCCTAGTTTAGAGGGTGAGTCGTACCAGTGGAATTAGATTCTTGCAGTACAGGTTGGCAGGTCTGCAACCGCAATATATAGAAATATAAGAAATGCGCACTTCCTAGCGCCATGCTGAGGGAGCTTTTAAGCATGACAGTAGCGATGTGATGTTAGTGTTTTAGTATTTCGTTTTTTATGAGGGGATACAGCATATATCGGTATTGATAATATTTGTATCGATTAACGTATTAAAAGTCAGTCAACATCGGTATATCGGACATTAGTAATAAAAAGCCAATATTAGGCATCCCTAATAAAAAAAAACTATTAAAAAGTTTGAAACTGAGCTTGGAACGTGACATGTGATGTAGTCTCAGTCTTTAAAGAGCAAGTCAAGCCCAAATCAACTTTTTTGCCCTGATAAACTTTATAAATGTCTGTCTAATTGTGCTGCAGACACATGTAGTCAATAGTTTAGCACTTTAGTGCATTTGAGTTCAAATTAAAGAGCAAGTCACTCCAAATCACCATTTTTTGCTGATAAACCATATAAATGAGTGTCCAGTTGTGCTGCAGACAAATGTAGTCAATAATTTGGCATTTTAGTGCATCTTAGTTAAAATTTTTATATTCTGCCTAAAACTGTCAGCGATGCACTGTCGTCAGGCAAAAACTCGGCACTGCATTTGAATTTAAATCTGCCATCGCTATTGGCTAAGAGGTACACTATGATGTTAGATGGTACATTATGATGTCACAATGTCGTGAGTGTGTGTATTCGTTAGAGGCTACGCCCTCTCGGTCTGCTAGTCAACATCATTTGTTGCATTTTTCAAACAGGAAGTGGGAGTTGAATAAGAATCTGGCAGGGGGTGACTTGCTCTTTAAAGTTTTCTGCCTAAAACTGTCAATGTTGTGCTGTTGTCAGGTAAAAACTCTGCACTGCATTTGAATTTAAATCTGCCATCGCTATTGGCTAAGAGATACCCTAGGAAGTTATGATGTCACAATGTCGTTGCGAGCCTGTGTGTGTGTATTTGTTGCTCTCTTGGTCTGCTAGGCAACACAATTTGTTGCATTTTTCAAACAGGAAATGGGAGTGGAGTAATACTCTGGTAGGGGGTGACTTGCTCTTTAACAAAGTGATTTCAGTAAAACATATAATAGGTTTCATTTGAGAATAAAATGGCACATTTTATTTTTAGCAGTGATTTCACAGAATGAAAACGTGTGTTGCTTTTTCCTGAAATAATCAATAATAGATCAGTTAGATCTGTGTAAAAGCACAAAATTTTGGTGTTTTGTTTCTTAAATGCAATTGGGAAGTGTTGAAGGAAATAAGAAAATATATTTTCATAAACAAATAATTTGGTTTAGATTTCCCTTTAAAAAGCCGCTGAATGGAGTCTTAAACAGAGATTAAACTGATTCAAAACAAAGGATCACACACACACACACACACACACACACACACACACACACACACACACACACACACACACACACACACACACACACACACAAACCTGTAACACAGACATTCCGATCATGGAGTTCTCTGACAGCACAGCAGAGTATGAGATGTTTTGGAAAAGTGGGGGGTTGTCATTCACATCCAGAACCACGATGTCTACGTCGACCTCGGACTTTGCCCCGGTCAGCGTGTCAGTGGCCTTCACCGTCAGACGGTAGTACTGAGTGGTTTCATAATCCAGCGGATAAATCACGCTGATGACTCCTGTATCAAAGCCGATGTCAAACTGAAGGAAAGGGTCTCCATCTGTGATGGTGAAGATGATGTCCTGACCTTCAGGACTGCTCGCGTTGATGCAGAGAACAGACGCTGAGACGTCCACATCTTCTCTGACAGTGATGCCATAGAACGGCTTGTCAAACACTGGCATTGCTTTATTTACTACAGTAACAACCACCTCCACCTCACTGGACAGATGAGGGATGCCACCATCAGCAGCCACGAGAACCAGCTTGTACTCTGCATCAGATAAGTCAGCTTCAAAGGGAACCGTAAGGATCAGCTCACCGGTCAGAGCATTCACCTGCAATAAAAGGAACAAACATTTAGCTTTATAGCTGGGGTGTACTTTAAAAATGTTAAAGTAACTTTTAAAATGCTTAAATGTTGTATCTAACCTTGTTCTGTGACATAAAGTAGGCGATCTTTCACAATATAAATGACCCCTAAGTCCGTCCTCGGGTGAATCATTTACGTGAGCCTCGAGCGTTGACGAATAGATTTGGCATCAGAGTTCTACCCACTGTACGTTGGCGCCATGGCAACTGATTAAACTGTTACACTACCAGATTTTAATGTGGGGTTAGGCTTAGGGTTAATTAAAGTGATTTTAATTTACCAGAACTGACAAAGCTCATCGGATGAGAAGCAAAACGTCTTCAAGAAACCAAAGATGGATTATCATGATCCGGATGACTAAGAACCTTCACCAGCAAAATTTCAAGAGAATTAAGAAAAAAAATTATTTGGAATTTTCATTTATTTATTTATTTATTTATTTATTGTTTTCTTTTGATGTACATGGTCTTGGTCTTGTCTCTGTCTTGGTTTTCTGTCTGATCTCGGTAATGTCTTGGTCTGTGGTAGTGTGGTCTTGACTACAACACAAGGCAGACACCTCAGCCAAATTAGCACACCAACCTAGCTTCAATGCTAACTCGGCCTGCGCTGAATAAATGTTAGACAGAAACTTTCAAGCCAACTGTGGAAGAGGACGGAGGGGAACGTGTTGTTGAGGGTCTGCCTTCATTAGAAAATTACTATGCAGTAATTTCTCCAAAAGACTGTGCCAAAAACGCCCTGGAGCGTGAATAAAAAGGCATATTAAAAATCAGCACCAGCAACTACTTCATTTCCCATGATTCCCTGCTGCCGGAAGCAACGTGATGACGTCACCAAAGCGATGTCGAACCCCGGACCAGGGTCCGCCCGCTGAAAAGCTATAAAGTGAGACGAGAACAAAACTTAACCCTCTTTTGTTCCAGGAATTTCTTTTGGTTTGGAGAGGTACGCTCGCCTTTTGCCTCCGGACGCGTGGGCACAGGCCGAGCTGTTTGAAATCAACGGAGAACGTCATCTAATCCGTTTGAACGACGAGGAACGTCTGTTTCGCTCAGAGAAGTTTTTTTTTGTTTTCTTTTTTCTCCTCTACCTCTCTTTTCCTCCCGTTTCTTTAATAGTCCGAACAAGCGATCAAACCGCGCGATTCCTTTATAGTAACGACGGCTCTTTCTCTTCCGTACCAAATACGCAAATACGTCATCCAGACCATCTTGAAGTAAGATCTTTTCTTTCATTGTAATATCTAAGTTGTTTTGAGCTGTGGCCACAGAATAAACAGATCATTAGATATTCAATTTTACCTTTGATCTGTTATTCTTCTTTTGTGCTTTGTGATTTGAAGTGTTTCGGTTAAGTTTTACTGTGATTGAACGGCTTTGGAAGTTAAAGTGAAAGTTGCCCACAACACACATTCACACACACACACACTCACACACACACACATACACACACACACACACACACACACACACACACACACATTCTGGTTTTCCGTGTCTGGGGGGACAAGACACACACACACATATTCTGGTTTTCAGTGTTTGGGAGGACACACACATCCCACATACATTTTGGGTCCTTGCTCCCTAAGACAAAGGGATTGGCCATTTTGTTTCAAAACTACCTCCATCTTGAGTTACATCACCTCAGATTGTCATTTCACATTATCATCTCATTGTTTAATCACTTGTTATTCATTTTATAAAATAAGTTGGTTGATGTTGATTGGCTAAACACTTTGGAAGGAGCTGAAGTGAATATATTAGTTAATAAAGGTCATTGCCAATTAAGTTTTGTCTCAGGTGATTTGTTTGTGTTGATATAAATTACAACTGCAGCTCGTTAAAGATTTCACGGAAAGGATAGACAGATAGATAGAGGTGTGGATTCATTGTTCCCCTGTTAAAAGGGGTGGTGCCCCGAGGACATCCAAGGATTTCCTAATTACGTAATAAATCGGTAAATATTTCCATATTTACGAATTTATTGATGAATCCAAAAAAGTAAGTAAAGCTTACAAATTATTCGTTGACTAATCATCACAACAGTGTATTGGGGCTAAGTGATTAGCGTAGCATTCTATTTTACACAACATCTAGCTATTTTAGCCTGCTGTAGCGGGTGGGCAGCGATTAAGAGTGGTCATTTCTTGCTGGTTTTAGACGTTTCCCTGCTTCTTTTCCGGAACTGCGCTGCTCTGGGCGGCTGCATGTTGGAGTAGCTCTGTTGACTAAATGTACGTTTTGCCTTTTCTTGGGCCTTTTTTATTTTAGTTTCTCAAGAAAAAAAATTTTTTTTACACTTTCCTTTTCTGTTTCTGGTGCTGTGAAGCTTGAAGGATTTTTACTGCTATTTTTTTAGCTTTTTGAGCATTTGTTATGATGCGTAACCACGGCAACAAGCTGGTTTACAATCGGGAGCAGCTGATTAACATTGGGAAGGCTGAAATAATACCTTAACTGAAGCCACAAATCCCAAATGAGCTAAAACGCAAGAAGCGTGGGTGCAGAGCGGGAGCAAAACGGAGACAGAGAAAGAGGAAATTGAAACCATCTCTTCCATCGATCATAATGGGCAATGTGAGATCACTGGCCAACAAGAAGGAGGAGCTCCAAGCCCTTTCAAGGACTCAGCCAGAGTTTTGGCAGTTTCAGAACCGCTGGAGGAGATAATGCAAAGAAGGATTATCCAGAGAATCAAGAAAATTATGGACAACCCTGAGCATTCTCTTCACAAGACTGTCTGACAACGAAAGAGTGTCTTCAGTCAGAGGCTTCTTCAGTTTCACTGCAACACTGGCCGCTACTGGAGATCCTTCCTGCCAACAGCCATTGTAATATACAATAACTCTTTGACGACTTGACTATTATTATTATTATTCTGAGCTACTACAGTGTTACGTTCCGTGTCCCTTTTCGGCCACAAGATGGCCTCAGTGGCCTTTGCCTCGCCTGTCTCCCGGTGTACCAGGTGTCTGCAATCGCTCATAATCAGGGAGTAGCTGTTAAAAGCTGCTCTCCTGCCCTCAGTCATTGAGAAGGTCCAAGGGTAGTATAGACTCGGCTGAGTCTGTACTATTCTCTTCTCCCCGTTCGCTATTAACTCGTTTTGCTTGGTAGACTTTGGCATTTGCACTCGTTTTGGTATTTAGATTTGCTGAGGTTCATCATATTCACCTCACTTGCCCTTGGTTACTGGTGACCTAAGGGCAGCCATTTTAGATGAGTTGCCGATCCAAGGAGTAGACCTGATTTTGGGAAATGACGCTGTTAGTGGATTGGTGTTACCTCCTCCTGAGTTCAGTTCTTTGCATGGAATCGGGGAAAGTCTAGATAAACTACCTGCTTGTGTGCTGCCTTGCGCCCAGCTTAAGAAAAACCCAGAAATCTCAATTAGTGACTCCGTGCTGTCCCCGCTGCTAGCTGATGACATCACACGACCAGGTCCGGCTGTAAAAACGCCTGATCTGACCTCCAGAGGCCCTCTACCTGATTTACCCATCTCGTGTAAGACTTTGGCTGATACACAAAAGGACATTGAATCTCTGAAGCCCTATTTTGTGCTGTTTAGGGTGGCTCCGACATCTCCCGTGGGTCAGGCCTTTTATGGGAATCATGTTCTCTCCTCGACCCCTGACTCCACTCGTTTCCCTGAAACTTTGCCTTTGTTTTCTATTACGCCCCAGATGGTGATGAGAGCATTACCGGAGTTCCATTCAGGTTTTGGGGTTACCTAAGGTCATTCAGATGGATCAGGGCTCTAACTTCACCTCTCGGGTTTTCAACCGAGCAACATTTGATTCTTCTTTAATGTTTCCGAAACTGCAACCTTGATCCATTGTCGAAGAGGTAGTCTTTTAGCTTTGGGTCCTTGAACGTCGATTTGGGGCTAAACAAAATTTGCCTTACCGCCGGTATCTTCCCGCTGTCTCGGGCATTATGTTTTTTTTTCTCGCCTCCCTCAACTCGTCGTGAGCCCGGCTGATTTGTACAGGGGTGGTTGCCGTAAGTTCGTAGTGATAGCTTAGTTGTTTATGATGGGCGCAGTTCTTGCGTCACTTATTTTTGGGACTCCTGGGGGTCAAGCTGTTTCTGTGTCTTAAATATAAAAAGATTTGCTATGATGTGCTCCTGTTTTAGCTGCCCCCGATCTAGACCTTTCAAGCTGGAAGACGACGCCAGCCAAGCAAGGGCTGGAGCTGTCCTCATCCAGGAGGATGACACTGGGCTTGGTCTTCTAGTATGCTGTTTCTCTGGGAAGTTCAACCGTGCTCAGAGGGGATATGTAACATTTTCCTGTCTCAGTTAAAACAGTTCATTAATTCCTAATTTCTTTCAGACACCACCCTCTAGACTGGCCAGCGGCTGATGTGTTGGCCCCTCCTGCTCCAGGGAGTAAACCTGGAGATTCGCCATGAGAAGGGCTCTGTCATCCTCATCACGACCGCTTCGTCACTCAGTTTAAATCATGAGGCTCCTTTGTAGGCTTTTGTGTTTTAGATGTTGGATCCTCCTGAAAGGCTAGTGTTGTCTGCGCAAGCAGACATCTCGGGGACACTCCGCAGAGCTGGGGAACAGCGCCGCGTGATTATTTCTGTTTAATCTGCCCGCCTTGAGAAGATCCAGGGGTAGGTAGTTAGTTTTTTTTGTGTTTAGATAGCGGGAGACCTCATTTCTTTTAATAAATGTTGGCTCTTTTGAGTCCACCCATTTATATTCTTAAGTGTGTGTGTGTGTGTGTGTGTGTGGGGGGGGGTTACGGTCCGTGTCCCTTTTCAGCCACAAGATGGCCTCAGTTGCCTTTGCCTCGCCCGTCTCCCGGTGTACCGGGTGTCTGCAATCGCTCACAATCAGGGAGTGGCTGTTAAAAGCTGCTCTCCTGCCCTCAGTCATTGAGAAGGTCCAAGGGCAGTATAGACTCGGCTGAGTCTGTACTATTCTCTTCTGCTCAATCGCTATTAACTCGTTTTGCTTGGTAGACTTTGGTATTTGGACTCGTTTTGGTATTTGGATTTGGCAATAGATCGTTTGGCTAATTTGACTTCGGACCGACATTTTGACATGGAATTTAGGACCTCCCCTTTTGGATGAAATTTGATATTCTCGGTTGTTTATCCCCATCCCCTTCTGGGTTGGCACTTTATATTATCTCCTTTTTGAATATTGCTCCTTCGGTTTTGTATATAGTATTGTTTTTAGGTTCTTTGTAAATATCCCGTGTTTTTTAACAAAATCCTTTGTTTTTAAGCGACACAGCACCCTGATTATTATTTCACCCACACACTAATTTTATTACTCCCCTCCTCATCTCTCCTAGAGAGCCGGGGACGTAATATACAGCAATCATTTTCCCTCAGGGATTAATAAAGTATTTTTGAATTGAATTGAATTGAACAGATTTGATTAAAATTAGTGATTAGTAGCTCCTGCAGAAGCTGAAGAAGGCTGAGGAGATAATTCAGCAGTTAGAATCAGAGTGGGAACATATCAAAAACATGCAACCACAGCACTGCTACGCTAGCACTATGAGGCTAGTTGTGTGCGCATGCGTGATATGAGGCACGGCTTTCAGCTCCCTCCAGATGATGAGGATCTGGGATGGGAGCTATAGCCGTTTAAATGTCAAAATCTCCTCCCCTCCCTGATGATGTCACGCTACGCACCCCAGCTTAAAAAACCTGTAAAGAGTTCATATATAAAGCAGATTTGTTGTAGCTTATACCTCAAAGTTTCTGTGCTGCAGTTTAAGGGCATAGGTAACGTCTCCATTTAGACCACGGTCCCGGTCTACAGCAGAGACCCTAAAAATGACTGATCCTGCGTCTGCCTCCACCTGCACCGCAGCATAGTACGGTAGGTTCACAAACTCTGGAGCGTTGTCATTAATATCTTCCACCTACAAAAAAATAAAAATAAAAATAACAACAGGCATTTTAAAATCAATATATAACAACATAATTCAAAAACAGTTATAGACTTGCAGTTAGCAACAGAAATAAGACATTTAACTACAAATAATTCAAAAGCAATAACATTTTCTTTTCCAAACAATAACATTTACCTGCCTATTGCTATTTAACATGAAGCAATACTAATTATTAGTGCTGCAGTTGTATATTTCAAAATCAAACACTACATTCTGTAACACCGCAGCAAACCGAGTCAATGAGTGCAAAGCTTAACATGTTAAGAAAAACATCTGAAGTGTCCCACTAAATTAAGTTTTTCAACTTAACAGAGAAAAAGGAAAGAAAATCCATAGCTACACTTGAATAAAAGCAGATTGACTGACTGTCACCCATTCATGCCGAGTTCAAAACTATCATCTGATGTTGAGAAATGTTTGATATTTGGGTCAAATTTAGAAAATAACTTCAGTTTCGTACATGATGGCAAGATCACACAATCCTTTAGCGCTCAGAGCGTACGCTATGAATCTACTAGCACATGACATTTTTACTTAAAAATCACTTAAATTTTCCAAGTTAAAGTGATTTTGATGGCTAAAGGTCGTTTGGCTGTGCCATCTCATACCCATGTAATGATTACATACTCGTAAAATAAGTTTTAGGATGCCAGTAACTCACAAAAACTGATGATGGACTCGTTTTGTGAAACTAACACAACAACAGCAGCTTCCTTTGACCAAATTGGACCTCTGGAAATCAGGTGATGGAAAACGAAAACTTATGATCAACATTTGTGTTTTCAGGAGTTCAACATATAAAAATAAATCTGTTGATTTAGATTAAGATTTGTGATCTCAGCTGTGAAGAAAACAACTTGTGAACTTTGCCCTGTTTTTCGAAATTTAAAAGTAGTCTTGCTGCTTCCGCCGTCTAAAACATAAGAGAAATAAAAGTCACACACACACACCTGCACTTGCACAGTCACCCTGGCTACCCTCAGTATCTCGTCTTCTCTGCTCACTTCCACCACCAGCTCGTAGTTCTCCTTCTCCTCACGGTCAAAAGGCACGCCAGTGGTGAGCACCACTCCACAGGTGGGCCGGATGCTGAAGCGTCCTCCAGGGTTCAGCAAAGTGTACTTCAGTGGCTCATTGAGGCGATGGCCCACTGTGTTTATGATGGTAACTAAGGTGACATTGGGGACGTTCTCTGGGATGGAGGCTGAGTACACTGGGAAGGTGAAGAGAAGGCCGCTGTCTACAGCCTCTCTAACGAGGACCGTGACAGACGTTGTGCTGGAGAAACGTCCATCCCAAACCTTCAACAAACACATCATTGAGATGACAGAATAAAATTCTGGCATCTTAGCATGTTTCTTTACAACATAAACTTAAAAATCACATTAAGACCTCTACACAAAAGACTTACCTTGACATTAAGACGATAACGGTCTTTACTGAGGTTCTCGTTGATGACGGTCATAATTCCCGTGTGACGCTCGACAGAGAAGTACTCCAGATTGCTGTCAACTAAAGAATAAGCAAGATAGGGTGTGTTGGACTTTTCTTCAGCAACATCAGAGTCCAAAGCTTCAACCCTGAGAACCTCGACTCCCACGTAAGTAGGCAGCAGGAGGATGGTTTCATAATTGTCCTGGCAGAACTTTGGTGGTGAGTCATTAATGTTGATCACCTAAAGAAATGTTTCACAAGTTAACATCAAAATAAAACGCCCCAATACCAGGACCATGTGCAGCTGATTTTTTTCCCATTTACTTGCCTTTATGATCACCTCTGCAGGTCGTTCAGCACTCCTAGAGGGCTGGCCACTGTCTCGAACATGAACCCGAAAGAGGAACTCTGAGAAAATTTCGTAGTCCAGACTGGCAATGGTTCTGAAATGTTTCAAACTCAAACAAATCAGTTACCAATTGGAATTACCCCCTATTTACACAAGTGCAGAACGCATGGGGTCTGGGAAACCGTACGGCTTCAGCAAAGAGCAAAAATCAATGTCCAATTAGTGCATTCACACTGGCTGTGGTGTGATGCAGATTTACAGCTCTGGAAAGTTTCCATGAAGTTAAAAAAATTCATGAGCCAGACAAGAAGCGAATCTTAGTTAAGTGAGGTGCATCCGGGATGTTTCAAAATAAACCTGTGTTGCATTTTTTCCATCTTCTAGTTCATTACTAATGACAGGGATCTCAGTGGTGTATCTTTAAATGTATAATGCCAAACTATTAACATGAACCTGTGTGAACTCCTGGGATTTGGTGCTCTTGTAGGAGCACATTTCTGGAGACATTCTGCTTGTGATCTGCACTAAACGGCAGTCCAAATTCCGGATTGGCCCGTGGTGATGTAATGGTGGTAGTACCTACCGAATCGATCCGGTCCCAGAATCAACGCTGAAGAACATCCGCGCGGTCTCCTCTATGATCTGGAACACTAAGAGGGCATTGTGATTGCGGTCCTTATCAGTGGCCCGGATGACCAAAGGGTTACCATCCTCTCCCAACACCACACTGTTGACGGGGGCTGCTTCACTCACTGTGCCCACGTATCTGTGAGATTTGAAAAGTAAATATGTTGAAAAGGAAGTCCATCCAATTCTTGATGTCAGGTGACCTTCACAAAACTACTTGTTTTAATTTTTGAGTGAACTGTGACCAACTTTGGTACCTGATTTGTTGGAATTCTGGTGGATTATCATTGATGTCCACCACTTGGACAGTGACGGTGGCGCTAGCCTCCATTCCAGTCATGCTCAGAGCCCGCAGCATCAGAAAATAAGATGTAATTAGCTGTCAGGGGAAAAAAACAATCAGCTTTCAAATTCCAAAGTAAATCAAGAAAACAGGCAGGTACAAATTTAATAAGTGATGTAAGCCAACTCCATTCGCTCTCCAACATTGATGTTTTATCTCCACAAATAACACAAACCTGAAAAGGGTTCTCAGGGTCAGCCCAAGTCTTTGTGAGGCCCTAAACAGGTGTCCCTTGGGGGTTCCCCAGACCAACAAGTCAACACCAGAAACTCAAACTCAGACTGGTTTTTTTTTTCAAAACAAACTGTGTTTTTCTTATGAGGCAAAAAAAAAAAAGTAGACTAGGTGACTAGTAGAGTTTCTCCTTTCTATGATAACATCTCCTTTGCTCTTTCTCCAGTGACGATGGATCATGTTACATTCGACGGTCCAACCATGGTTCGAGTGGGTGTGGTGAACAGAGGGCTGCGTGAGTTGTCGGCAGATCCCGGTCTCAAGTTTCGACCAGTGACTTACTCCTGGTCCTCCTCTGATTCTGTCGTGATATTCATTATATGCCTAAACCTCGGCTTGCTCTGGGGTGTGTTCTTTATCCTGTTCCTTTATTTCTCCGCACAGTTGACCCTGCTGGGGACCTCGGTCGGTGATGTTAAACGACGCCTAACTCGAGCCTTAGCACCGGTTCGTGGAGCACCGGCTGCCCAGATGCCTGCGCTTTAGCCGGTCGGTCCTCCTCCTCCTCCTCCGTCTGCCAGGTCGTAGAAGGTGAAGTGATTTTGGTTGCCAGACTCGTCGGTTCCATAGTTTCTATCTCAAGTTACACAAGTTTGTCTATGTTTGTGTGTGTGCATGGTTGTCTTTCCTGTTTATACATGACGTGCAGACTTGGGGTGAGTTGAGATGAACATCCTGTGGGTTCCTGAGGTCAGGTAATCAGTCAGGTAACAGTAGATTGGGTTAGGTCACATAGTACTGTTATCCAAATTTTTATTATTTCACTAATCTTAATTCCTTATGGGAACTTTAACATGAGGGTGATTACTAACCACTGATTTACAGTTTGAGCTCATAGACAATCACACATCTATCTTTTTTATAGAGCTTTGTTGCAGTGATTGAGTTGAAATCTTTATGATTAGCTTGGTTGATTACCATCAGGGGCTACAGCCATTTTAGCCCTTCAGTTGTGACTAGTCACCTAGTCACTGCAACATTTCTGTCTATTCTGGATTATGGAGACCTTTTGAATATGAATGCCTCAGCACAGTGTCTTGGTAAGATTGGTGTGGTTTATCACGCCTCGATGAGGTTTATTAATGACTGTAGACCACTGACCCATCATTGTGAATTGTATTCTCGAGTCCACCAGGAGGTTGGGACATTGGTACACTTTCATTTATAGGGCCATGCTTGGATTACTACCCAAATACATCTGTAACGTAATCTCACGGAGAAGTGTAACTTCTCACAAATGATCAGTTGTTACTTTGTGTTGGTTGCTCGCACCAAACTGGGCAAAGGGGCTTTCATTCACTCTGCTCCTTCTGCATAGAACAGGCTGCAGGAAAACTGGAAATCAACCGAGTTTATCTCCTTGAATACATTTAAAACCAGACTGAGAACCCTTTAGGCGGATTCCCTGAGTTGTAACAAGTGGCGGATTTAGTTATTTGGGGGCCCAAGGCGAACACAGACAGGGGCCCCCTTACACAAAATTTTCGACAATCTTACCTTTAACTGGATTTGCGAAACTCTACCCTCTTCTGACATGAGTTGTTTTCACTTTTATTAGTCCTCCTCTTTTTTCCTGTCTTTCTCTCCCTTGAGTGCTTTCAATATTTGCTCTGCTTTCTTCTTCCTGTCTCCTGTGCTTTTGCCTTTGTTTTTTTTCTTCTATTTTCCATTTTGGTCTATGTTTTCCTCCCTTTAAACATTTTCCATAGTCGTTTTTTCTGCTTACTTTTGATGTTTACATAGAAAAACAATGTCACTTTTGGAAATTAAGATAAAAGCTTTTTTGAAGCAAGTTGCTTCTTTGTTTTATTGGAGCCACCAGAGCCTCTTTTATAAGACACACCATCACATCATTACAGAGTGATAAATCCAAATTTGTGGGTCTCGTAAATGTGGCAAGGAGCAAAGGGGAAAGGTGATAAAACTCGATTCTTATGCGCTTTGCCTCGTAGTAATATTGCCGCATAAGCCCCTCACCTCTGATGGCTGAATAAGTGTCAGCCCTGCTAATCCCTTTGGAGCGACTGTGGGAGCCCCCCCCCCGGAAAAGAGGGTGGTCGCATTAGTGACGTATACTGCGCGTCGAGTGCCGGCCAGATGGGATATGTAAACACAGGTAAACATGGCCTCTCACTAGTATCTTTCAACCACCTACAACATGGCAAACTGGATGGACACGGAGACCATGGAGCTTTTGGCCGTGCGTACTGGGACAGTGAGATACAGCCAGCTGTTCGACAGAGTGGTGAAAGCACTGGCTGAGCGGGGCGTCAAGTGGGACAAGAAGCAGGTCACATCAAAGCTAAAGGTCCTGAAAAAGAAATGTCATCAGACTGATGTGCCTTCCGTCTGACGCTGAATGCGCGACCCTGTACGTCACATGCGGGGGGGGAGTGACCTCCCTTTATCCCGTCTTGGTTTGAGAGGTGCCTGATGGCATTTTATTCTAGTTTCAGCTTTGCTACTATAAATGCCAAAACCCTCCCCAGAGAGCCGCAGCAAATCCCGTTTTGCAAACACTATGGTCCTGTAAAAACAGCTTATGATATTTCATGCTTAATGTTTTGACTACCACTTCAAGTTTGTTACGAACGCTCCCGCCTCTCTTCTTCTATTTCTGCTTTCGCTTCTTATTATTATTTGTGGTCTTATGGCATTTGGCAAACAACAATTTGGTGCATTACTGCCACCACCTAGATTGGAGTGGAAGGACTACCAATCACTTCCTGTTTGCGCATTGGCGTCTTAAAGGAGTAGTCCATTGTGGCATTAACAGAGGGGTGCTAGCAGTCAGGGCTAGGGGCCCCCGAACATAAGGGGGCCCCAGGCGGCTGCTGACCTATGCCTAATGGTAAAACCGCCACTGATTGTAGTAACTGCCTTCTGTGATTTTGTATTTAACTTTTGCTGCCTCTTGGCGGGGACTTCTTGAAAATAAGGTTTTATAACTCAATGGGACCTTCCTGGTTAAATAAAGATTGCATAATAAATAAGATAGCTCCAGACTTTCTAGGAAGTGTTAGTAATGTAATACAATATTCATTAAAATGTAGTTTAGCAATGTTTCCTGCACTCTTTGAAAAGCATGTTGAGTTTTAATCTACTATCTACATTTTTTCATGACATTCGCACACTGCACTTCAAATGCAGTCTTGGTCAGGAATGCAAAACGCTTTACATCAACGTTTATTGCATTTGACATAAAGTCACAGCTCAGTTAACCATTAAAATTTAAAGTCAACTGGCTAATGTTGCATCCAGTAAGCCTAAATCTTACAACAGTTTCCCTCATAAACTTGTCCTAACATGAAATAATTCAACAAAGTGCATCTAATTATTCTCTTTACTCTAATATTCAAAGTTAACAGAACGAGGTGTGACACTACCAAGAATAAAACAAGTTTTACACTTGTGTGCAGTTGCATCACTTAGCAAGAACATATATGGAACACCATGTCTTCCCTGTGGCATTTCTCTACAAAAACAAAAGTCCAGGACTCAAATCATCAACTTACAGCTTGTTTTAGCCAGATAGGTTTATCTATGTGGCATGTCTGCAAGCACTAATTGAAATTAAACATTTACTTAAAAAACTAAGAATCAGCCTGGAAGCCCATAAATGTTGCATCAAACAGTTGTGGAGGATTGTGCATGACACGAGCTTAAGCAGATGGTCTCTAACACACAAAACGGCAAACCTCAAAGTCAGGCGGTTTGCGGGTTGTGATGACTCCGGTATGATGGTTGATGGAGAAGCGGTGCTCCTCGTTTCCTCTGATGATGTCATAAATGAGCGGAGAGCGACTTAGGGCGCTGACGGTGATCACGTGTGTGCCAAGTTTGCTGTTCTCCATTATCTGTAGCCAAACATAAGTGATTTGTTTTAAGCACTTCTTCGAGTTATGCACATGATTTCATTAAGGTATTTACCTCCTGCATATCGATTTGGTCATTCACCATCCATCTTTACCTACCGCCTTCAAGCCCGTCTTTATTTGATCTATCTCTCCCTCCTAATTCATCCCCTCCACCCATGAATCAATTACTCCATTCAGCTGTCTCGTTCTTTACCTCAGCCTGATACTCCTTCTGAGAGAATTTGGGTTTGGAGAAGTCAGAGAGTATCAAGGAAATGCGAACTGAAGCAGTGGCCGTTAATGGAGGGAACCCGCCGTCTGTGGCACGGACGGTGAGGGTGTAGAAACCCAAAGAGGTGAGGTCCAGATTTTTTGCAATGAAGATAACGCCTGTGGTGTTATCAATGGCAAACACACCTCCATTGTTACCTGGATGAAGGATGCAGAGAAAACTTTGCTGAATCCAGACAAAAGAAAAACACTTGAAAATTGAGGAAGACTGTAATTTTTCTTTTAGGCAATCCCATACCTGCTTCAATAGTGTAAATAAGTTGGCCATTAATCCCATTATCTTTGTCTAAGGCTGTCACCTGCAGCACAGAAGAACCAACAGGAAAAGTCTCATAGGCAGTAGCATCGTATATGGTGCTCGTAAAGTAGGGGATGTTATCATTAGTGTCCTCCACTGCCACCAGGATACGAGCCAGGTCCCGGTTAAATGGAAACTCCTGATCCTTAACCTGGAGCAGGAGAAAGAAGAATTGAATATGGATTGAGCTGTAGGAGGCTTTACGTAAACAAACCCAGATTTTAAAAGAAGGGCAGCCACAGCTGTCAAGAGGAACAAAGAGCACAGGAACACTCAAAGACAATAATAGAGTTCTCATCTCACCATAACGGTGAGGATGTGCTGCGTTCTGGCCTCGTAGTCCAACCGGTCCGTGGTGTAAACGACTCCCGTGCCAGGATTTACCCTGAACAGTCTCATACTGGCTGGGTCGACGCTTCCATAGATGGAGAAACTCAAACGGGCGCGCTCATCCATGTCCGACGCTCGGAGCCGCAGGAGCTCCACGTCAGCTGGTGCATCCTCAGAAACACTGACGTCATATGTTGACTGCGAGAAGACTGGAGGGTTGTCGTTGCTGTCCTGTACTCGAATAAATACCTGGAGAAAATAGTACATTTTGTAAGGAAATTGAAATTATAAGGTGTGTGGCTCCGAGCTGGAAGTGTAACAGATATTTAAAGAACCCTGTAACATACAATTTACAATGGTATGACATGTTACTAATTAATGCTTCCATGATCTGCTGAAAAGTCTTTGGGGATAAAGTTAAGGTGGCATTAATCCACTTTGGGACTGGCCTTGCTGGGACTAGCCATGAGCTTACCAATACAACAAACCTTAATCTCTGTTTCTTCAAACTGAGGTCTTTAAATGTTCTGTCTTAGGCAGTAGAGAGAGTTTGGAAACATTGTTTAAAAAAATAAAGTATTGCTTCAACTGACCCCGAATAAACCCCATTTAGCTGCTGCCATAAAGAACTGGAGTGTGGTTAGTGCCAAAACCAGGAAATTGCCTTTCACAGATAATTCAGATAAGAGGATTGCATGTCGTTGGATGGCCAGATGAAAGGGAACAACCATTATCACACAATGTGGAAGTGTTTCAGTGGCAACTCAAAGAGCTTCAATTAAAAGTTGGCGCACCTGCGTCGTGGCAAAGTTGGTTCCATCGGTCACCTGTACAGTCATGTTGTACACCGACTGAACCTCTGCATCCAAAGGCTTGGCCACAATCAGAGTCCCCACCCCAACTTGGAGGTCAAACTGCATGTCAAAACTCCCTGATGACACACACAGACACACACACACACACACACACACACACACACACACACACACACACACACACACACACACACACACACACACACACACACACACACACGGAGAGAGTAAATCATTTGCATTCCGGTTGGGTGATAAACTCAGGTGCTCTAAGGTATTACTGTGTAATTGTTTTGGCCAGGCACCTCCATCTGGAGCTGGAGGGTCTGTGAAATAAAATGAACTGAAATGTAATGCCATGTATTTGTGAACCCACTTGGCAGCATGCAAGCTGCTAACAGCCGTACAAACATCTGTCTTATCGCTCTGAAACACAACCCATCACAGAGATCAGAAACCCAAGGCCGGATCTGTTCCAGAGCGATGCGTGTACAGTTTAGAGGGCTTAATGTTTGATTAAAGCAAGTCAGAGGACGGATACGTGTTAGGTATTCAGCGCCATCCTTCGTCTCATCCCTCGCTTCTCTCGAGAGATATCTGGGAGCTCGAGCTCCCCTCGGCGTATGAATACTGATTGGGCATTTTTCACAGAATCTCTGATGCGTGTTGGGTGGGAGCAAAACACTTAGACTCACAATATATGTTTTTCTGTTTTCATTCTTTTGTGTGTGTATGTGTGTGTGTGTGTGTGTGTGGGGGGGGGGGGGGGGGGGGGGGGTCAATATTACAGTACAAGAGATCAATTTCACAGCACTTCGGAAAACAAAAGTCACAGCATGAACCCTCAGCAAGGGTCTCTGGGAGGGTTGATCCAACCTCCCTGTGTCCGAAGCATATGACCTTTGTGAACTCATAATGCTACGATTCTGAGCTAATTAGACATACTGCAGATGTGTGTCCACAGGGTGTTGGATTCAATAATGTTAACGAACAAGAACTGATTGTTTTGTTTCACAATTTCATCTCAAAGAGCTTTGACCGTTGTCTGAATATAACGGAGGAGAGATATGAATAATAACTTGTAAGAAGAAAGGAGTTTCAACTTTATAGAGGAGTAAAGTTAGATTCCTTTATAGTTGAGTTTCATATTCAAATGGTACCGAAATCTCCTGAAACAAGAGAACTACGTATAGTTTTGACACATTTAAGAACTTTTCATTGTTCAATATCAACAAGCTTAGTTTTGTTGTCCTCCAAAAGGAATGTAAATAACCGCATAGCTGAAAATGTAAAGAAATCTCTATAAAGATGCGCTTCAATTTGCCTTATTTTCCACAGTAAAACCAAGCTCCCACAATGCGGCTCAAAAATTGAGGCCAACCCAGAAGTACCAAAAATTGCAGTTCCACCCTCATCCGCTGGGGGCTGGTGTCAGAAGCGAGCAAATCCTCATTGACTCCCATGTTAAAAATACTAATTTCACAGCAGAAATAAACATGTTTACAGCCTGGTACCAAAACATGTTTTTTGTTTAAATGATCTAGTTTACACTCATGACAACTCTGAGGGGGGTGAATTTTTTTCTCACTCTTCTGTTTAAGTGTATTAAAAGCCTAAAATTCCGTATAATTAATGAGCATCAGACCCACGTGACCATGAAGCTAGCTCCGTGGAAAGGCCTCAGTATAGTCTCGGTCTGGCTTGGAAACTGTTCCGGGATTTTGAGTCTCTGTGTTTGTGTATCCTGTTTTGGATATTATTTGTGCAATTGTTGGACAACATGACTTGCTGTGGCATTAATCGCACTAATAGAGCGTCCAAGGAGTCTCCACTTCATTTTTTTCGGTAAGTAAAATTATATTTATGTATTTTAGGTCACTGCCGAGCTGAGCTTAGATTTTAACATGTACTGTTTAACCATGAAATTTAAATGTAATAGGGTAAAACCCAGTGCATTTAACATAATGCTGCACTTTAGAAAATGGTTGAAATATAACATGTTGGTGGAGCTGGGTTCCCACTATCGGCTTGTGGAGCTCTCGTGAGACCGATGTTTTCCACCCGTTTCTCCCCTCCCCTGCAGCTCGGCGCATCTCTGTCTGATCGTGGCTTCTGTCTGCTGCGCGGGCTGCCGGCTTTCAGCAGCCTTCGGGAGATCTCTGTGTTCCACCCAGTTTTACCCAGCGGTCAGCCCGGCGTATCTCTGACTCAGAAGCTCTGGTGTTATGCAGAGTGAACTCTGGTTATAGCTAGGTTGCTACCTCAGTTAGCTTAGCTCCCACCTCCGCATTAGCTTTCGGTTAGCTTCAGGTTAGCTTGTAGCTAGCTCGACCGGGTGTCGTCAGTTGATCCCAGCCTTACAGCCACACCCTCAGCTCCACCTCTCTTCCCTTTTTTGGAATTGTCTGGGCTTGACGGAACCTGTGACACGGTCAAAATGGCGGTGGTGGCCACCTCCTATTTAGCCTCAAAAGCGTGTAATTGGAGTCTATGGAAACCCATTGTCCAATATTTATATGTCAATGAGTAAAACAAAATAACTGATTATAGACAATTCAGCACTTATCAAACGATATAAAAATGAACTAAACATATTCACCGACTTCAGAAGTGAAGTCAAGATGTCCTTGTTGTATTCTATAATTAAATAATAATAACTGATACTTTATTGATCCACGGTAAATGTGTTTCTCTAATTTGACCTGTCTCTTATTTTATGTTATGAATGTCCCATTTATTTAAATGGAAGGGGCGGGACTTAAAACTCATATTTCAGCCAGCCACTAGGAGCTATTGTTTTGTTTCGGAAAAACGCTTGACAGATCTTCGTCACACTGTCGCTTAACATTCATCGACTCACCCATCTTGACCCGTGACGGAAGTCAGTTGTTGATTTAATATCCAGGAACAGCAGAGAACATCTAGACTATTAGAAGCTAACTGTTAGCATTAGCAACTCCACCACATGGGAGAACTACAGCTTGTTATTTGTGGAAATAAAACAGCATTGCAGAGCAAACAGAGTCAGTAGTAGAGTTGCAAAATGTCCAAATGCCATAAAATAAAAATCCAAATTCTGTTGTCTGAAGCTACTTTCTCGTCCTGCTGACTTCTATACATCCTCAAACAGGCGTACTGGAGCTTTGTTCCCCCAGAGAGTGGCTTACAAGACATTCATTCCTACTAGAGACCACTGCAAGTTTAGTAAAAATATGAGTAAACCTAACATTTAACTTCTGCTTTGTTGTTCTTATATGTCAGTACTAAACTAAACCAACCCGATTGCTGCACTGACATATCAAAAAATGTATTGTTGAAAAAAGTTACGATTAGTAGAATTTTGAAGTATTACCATTTGCAGCATCAAACTATCATATCAACCTTTAATTACTGAAGCAGCAGCAGGGTTTCAGCTGAACTAATAAAATAAACCTGTCTTGTCTGCACAGAGAAAACAAGCCAGAGCCGTTTGGGTGCAGCTGAGTGAGAATTAGTGCAACCAACACTTCCTCTAGCCAGCTAAGGTCTGCTGTGATTTGTATTTTCTGAATTTCTCCAAACCTGAGGCTTTTGTGAGAAATGTAAAGCGAAATTAACTCTGACCAGACCTGTGTCAAGAGAGCAGTTTCTCCCACATTCGTTCTGGGGAATGTAGAACATTTCTCTGGCGACCCGTCCGCCTTAAAAGAGGGAAAAGAAAAACAGAAGATCATCAGTAGTTATGAATTTTGAATATTCTTGTGATCAAAGTTGTGAATCATTCAGATACAGGGTTGCAAAATTAAGTTTTTGACACTTTTCACAGCTCTGTGTATGTAAGCAATGTAAGAGTAATATTCGACAGAGTACCTTTGTACTGCGTAGGAGACAGTTGGGTAAAAGTTGAGTAGAAATTTGGAAATGGAAAAAAGTCAGTCTTTTAGAGGAAACGAATAATTAACTATGATCAGTGAATACAATCAGAATTCTTGTAGGAATAACAATGGACTAATTACTAGTGAATAAAAAAATTAATCAATAAAAAAACACATTAGAACTGCACAGACAAATCCTTATCTGGGGGTCACTCTGCAAGACGTTTGCAAGTTCTCCCTGTACATGCGTGGGCTCCAGGTACTCCGACTTCCTCCCGCATTCCAAAAACATGACCGACTAGGTTGATTGGTCTCTCTAAAATTTCCTTAGGGGTGTGTGTGTGTGTGTGTGTGTGTGCATGGTTGTCTGTCCATATGTCTCTGTGTTGCCCTGTGATGGACTGACAACCTGTCAAGGGTATACCCCGTCTGCATGACCAAAGACTGCTGGAGATAGGCACCAGCCCCCCGCGACCCTGCGTGGATAGGTGGGTACAGAAAATGCATGGATGGATAAAAAACACCACATTGAGCTAATTCTGAACTTGCATTTATGCTCCTACGAATGAAATAACAAGGAAGCGAGTGTCGACCAATGTCAGAGAAGGGTTAAGTGGGACTGCAGATGAATGAGAAAGTGTGTCCAGTCAATGTCCGGGTTTTCTCATGAAAAAGATAAGAGGACAAGGATGCAAGCTGTGGATAGTTATGGCATGCATTTAAAGTCTAGTTATTCCCTGCACATCCTGAAACGTTACGTGTGGGTCCAACTTTCTTCTCTGTAGTTTTCTCTTGTCCAACAAGAATGTTAGTAATAGCTCAAGCTAGCATTAGCAGAAGATCAGGCTAGTGTTAGCAAAAGCTCAGGCTAGTGTTAGCAGAAGCTCAGGCTAATATTAGCAGAAGCTCAGGCTACTGTTATCAGAAGATCGGGCTAGTGTTAGCACAAGCTCAGGATAGTTTAGCAAGAGCTTGGGCTAGTGTTAGCAGAAGCTTGGGCTAGTGTTCGCAGAAGCTTGGGCTAGTGTTCGCAGAAGCTTGGGCTAGTGTTAGCAAAAGCTCAGGCTAGTGTTAGCAGAAGCTCAAGCTAGTTTAGCTCAAGCTCGGGCTAGTGTTAGCAGAATTGGGCTAGCGGAAGCAGAAACTTGGTCTAGTGTTAGCAAAAGCTCAGGCTAGTGTTAGCAGAAGCTCAGGCTAGTTTAGCACAAGCTTGGGCTAGTGTTAGCAGAAGCTTGGGCTAGCGGAAGCAGAAACTTGGTCTAGTGTTAGCAAAAGCTCAGGCTAGTGTTGGCAGAAGCTCAGGCTAGTTTAGCACGAGCTCAGGCTAGTGTTAGCAGAAGCTCGGGCTAGTGTTAGTAGAAGCTCAGGCTAGTTTAGCACAAGCTCGGGCTAGTGTTAGCAGAAGCTCGGGCTAGTGTTAGCAGAAGCTTGGGCTAGTGTATGCTAAAGCTTGGGCTAGTGTTCGAAAAAGCTCAGGCTAGTGTTAACAGAAGCTCAAGCTAGTTTAGCACGCGCTTGGGCTAGTGTTAGCAGTAGTAAAGGGACTTTTGGCTCATTGAAGGGAGTCATTCGTTAGTTGGTCGTTGACCCCAAAGAGCCGTTCAAAATACTGTACATTCCAGTGATATCTATGAGAGTAGGGGTGGGGGCATTACTGGAAGACAAGGTGAACGTTTTATCTACAAGGATTCGGCTCTGATCGTTTACTTTGGAAACGCGTTCAGAAGATTTGATTTGTTCGTGAACATCACATCACTAGTTAGCAGAAGCTTAGACTAGTGTTAGCATAAGCTCGAGCTAGAGTTAACAGTAGCTCAGGCTAGCATTGTTATTAGCATTAATGCACCAACATTTATATATTGCTGATGTGGAAGTGGCTTGGAACAAGTTAATTTAAGTTGATCTGTCTATAGCACAATAACACAAGGTGGCTTTTGGAATGAAACCAAATATTCTTTACAATAAAACTTACCAACAACACTGAACCAGACGTGTGTGCTGGACTGGCTGACAGCCACCACGCCCACTGGCTGAGCCACTGCAGTGGTCTCTGAGATTGAAAAGTTGTAGTATCTCTGGGTGAAGAGCAGGGAAACCTGCGAGGGAACAGGCTTTGGAATCCAATCAACATGGAGTTTGACTGTAGACCACAGTGGTGGACTCCCGCTGTCCTCTGCTTTAATCTAGAAGGGGAATCGATAAAGAATGCTTTCATCTAGCGCCTCTCTGGGCCAACTCAGAACATTTTACTCATAGCCTATGTACTCTAAACCCAACCAGTTGGGTATTAAATGGTTACCACTTAACATATGCACATAACCCAGCAAGCACTTGTGTTATTATTTATTTATTCTTCCAAGATTACATGTACCTCAATGTACTCCAGTACAATAAACTACCGTATCTACATTTGTGGATGCCTAATGGTTCCATGATGGTATCAGATGGTGATGGTACAAACTGAAAAGCACAGAGACAGCTGGTGAGGAGTGATGAGTACTGAAGAACTGAAAGTGACTTTGAAACACCTTTGGATGCTGACTTGTTATTATGATGAAAGAAAAAGGGTGAAATTAGACCCAAACTTTAAAAGTACAATTTGATGGAGTGATGTATTGACTCGAAGCTAAACCAAACTACATGCTAAATTGATTTATGGCCGTGTTTGACTTCAAACAGCTCACTCCACTTTTCACACCTAATAGCCATATAAGTAAAAATATAAATAAATGAAACCAGCTGAGCAAACGTAGGAGCTCATGTTCTGCATGCTTGTACAATTCATTCAGTTTTTCTCCAAGGGGAGGCCATTGCTGTCCATGTTAATGAAGGATACTCCCTAAGCACCATGGACAGATACGGACTAGAACTAAGGATGAGCACAAAAGCCGATCGGGTGTACTGTAGCATAAAACAAGAAATGTGTCTGGAGGTAACAACAACCACTTCAAATTGTGTTTGGAATAAAAGAAGGGCCAGAAAATTGCCACTCTCACACCACTACTGCTGAGTTCATTGGGCAGGAAAAAAACGTGTCAACTCAAAATACCTGGGTCTGGGTCTGATCAAAAATGACAGTGTGCACTTTGTTTCCACCTTAGGGAGGAGCAGTGGCTTATAAAGTCGCCAAACCATGTCTGGCTATAATTATGGAGGAGATGAAAACAAAAGAGCAGAACTCAAGTAGAAAGAAAGGGGTCCTGCGCATTAAACAGTCAAAATGAATGATCTATGAAGTCATATTCAAGATTTACAACTGGGTGTTTGGTGTTTAAAACCCAACAATCACACTCACAGTGAGGATGTCACTGCTGCCCGCTGTCACCATCTTCTTAGATGACACCATCCCGGTTTTTGGGTCAATGCTGAACTTTTCATCCTCGTTACCATCCATGATGCTGTATGTGATGTTGGCATTTGCTCCAAAGTCACAGTCATAGGCAAAGACGCGGTAGACGGGTTCACCGCGTTTGTTCCGATCTCGTTCAGGCAGGCTGATGCGGTAAGTGACCTCCGGGAAGGTGGGGGGGTTGTCGTTCTCGTCCTCCACATGCACTATGACCCAAACGGTGGACTGCCGGGTCGTCACTGGACTATCTATAACTGTCACCTGCAGGTAACGTACCAAAATCAAATAAACAGCATGTGTAATGTATGATAAAAGCATATTTTCCAGAAATGTGTGAGGGTTCTTTTTTAAACAAGTGCATGCATTTATTGACGTGTTAAACGTTTCTTGTGCAGTGTGAGTGCTGGGCCACGTGGAGATGAGATCCCGGGAAATCTCTTTGTATTATTGATCCCCTGGAAGACGAGCCAGAGGTCTGATCGCTGATCAATTGGATCAGATAAGGGCGAAAATCATTGTTGCCAGCCTGACTGCTCACTAGACTATAAATTACAGAACGGCTGCAGAGGGGGGTGGGCGAAACAATAGGTGCCATGCATGATTGGCACTTCTATGGAATAACGTAAGCAGGAAAAATGATAACAGAGATGTCCCTATTCCTAATTTTAAACTCATTTCAAATGCATATAGTCGGAGTTTCTAGTAAACGCAGGTTTATTGTTACACACTTCTGCTGCTTCCACTTTGTAATGCAAGAGCAGGGTTCTTAATTAGCGCTGGAGCTAATCTATGCCACAAAGAGTCTAGACAAACCAACTGGCAAAGCAGACATTCAATACATAACAATGACACCCAGCTTTAGAGCTTTGGGTCAGCTACAGGTTATTTTTTTCCATTTCGAAGAAGGGCAAAGTGCTTGTAGATTCATTAACATTTGACGAGTCGTGTAGAAAAGTCGGTGGAAAAACAAGTTTGCTCGTGTCTCTAAAGTCAAGAATCTCTGATTATCAGCTTCATCTGCATGCAGCACAGCAGCCGCGGCAACAGAAATGGTAATCACAGAGCTATCTGTATGCCCAGTGTTTGCGCCTATCAAAATGTCGGACGGACCAACTCCGCTGCTCGCTGTTCCCATCCTGAGCAGAGGAGATAACAGAGGATGAATGATTACGTTTGAAAAATCCTAAACCTGGGGCCCCCAAAACTACAGTCATTTATCACATTTTATGGAGCCTCGAGGGCCTGCCAAGGTTGTCCTCCACCCTGTCTTTGTTAATCGTGGGCTGTGGCAGGTGGCAGGCCAGGATAAATAATCATACTATAAACTGGGAACACCGTTGAGTTTTTACTGTACCTCTAAAAAGTGCTCTGCTTGTTGTTCTCTGTCCAGTTTCCTCGCCGTTGTTGTGATCAGGCCTAAAAATCACAAAAAGGGGCGTTTTAGTCAACGTAAATGCAGCCTGAAGAACGTAAGGATCTCTGTAGACTTGCAATCTGTGAGACTGAAATGATTCATTTAGGGCTTTTCTGTGGTGACATTTAAAAAACGACAATCTCTGCAGCGGGATCCACTTTATTAATGAGCCAGTGAATTCATACTTACTCCCCACAGCACACTGCCTACAGCCCTGGCACTGGCAGTCACATTTGGTACATGTTTATATGGATCAGTGTGACTGAGGGTCCCATGGTTGGCCAACAAGCCACCTGGGAAATCCAAGCAACTGATGAAAGCTCAGAGCGAATCGTATTATTTAGGTGAAAGATAGGCGGTTTGGCCGATTGCAAAGAAAATGCATCAAAACTTTTAGTTAGCTCTTTTTGTCTGTTTTCTTCACATTTCCTCATCTTATTATCCCTACATTGATGCACACTCAAACAGAAGGGAGAAAATCTCCATCCCTTAAATGAATTTTCTGGAATGCTCCAGTGTGCATTTTTATTTTAATCCTTAATGTTTAACCACACATGTGGAAAATTAATTTGCATTACAGAAGCTTCTAACTAAATAATAGACAATAACGTACAGAGGGAGTATAGCATGAGGAGGTTTAGTGCTGATTTGCCGGTACTGTTCAAAAGTAACAGAAATCAATGTTTTTCTCCTCCTGAGTAAAAAATGTTGAGGCGTAAACATTTCCTCAGCATCTCACTGGCACACAGACAGAATAACATAGTTTAGAAATCGTCTCCTTTTGGATTTATTTTATTATAAAACTCAACCAGCTACTGGACATAAAACTGAATTTACTATTTTATTGTTATTGCTTCTATAACAAACATTGGTTTCCTGTTGCGTCCTTCTTCTAATTTGCAGCAGATCCATACAATCTACCAGAGTGATTGTTGTTGTTTTCTACAGTTTTAGGGGGGAAAATGAATGATGCACCACTTTAGGCACCTCAAATCATCCAGCCTATCGGTCGTATTGAACTTTTTTTATGTCTTGGATATATTTTTTAGTTCTTATGGTTTGCATCTAATGAGGAAATGTAGACAGTTGCAAAACTCCCCTCTGAAGAAGAAATGATGCTCTCATCTAAGCACAAAATAAAACACATAAAGAACAAGTAAAAAAAGTAATAAGTAGATTTTTATGAAGGCATTTTACTAATAACAAAAGATAAATGAGGCTTTTGTTATAGACAGCTACTAATAATTTAATTCTTTATCATTTAGAAAAACTGCAATAAAAGCTAATATAGTAATGTAACACATGACCACACAATAAAGCAGCCAATCAACTTGAAATGCTTGTTTTTCACTTGGGTTGAATTTAATCTAAGAATTGTGACTTTTATCTCAGAATTCTGACTTTTTTTTCAGAATTATCTAAGTCAGAATTCTGAGACTAAAGTAAGAAGTCTGATGCAACAGTTAGCGTGATTGCTCAAAACCTTTCTGTAACTCTTACAGCAATACTCTGTTGGCCTGTCGAACAATGTTTTTATGTTTATGTTTATTTACTTGGCAGACGCTTCTATCCAAAGCGACGTACATTTTTTTTTTACTTGTAGGGCACGTTGTGATCTGTGGGGGAAACCAGAGTACCCAGAGGAAACCCACGCATGCATGGGGAGAACATGCAACTCCACGCAGAAAGGCCACAGCCGAGTTTTGAACCTGCAACCTTCTTGCTACGAGGCAACAGTGCTAACAACCGCGCCACCATGCAGCCCTTTTAAAGTGATACTTTTGGCAAAAAGCTTAGGCTTTAGCTTCTGTTTAAAGGATGAAACATCTGATTTATTTGAATCTTTTTATGTAAAGTTGGTCCAGTTATGCCAGGAAGGAAGCTGGAAATACTAATTAACAGGGATGTGTAGTGGCAGGAATCTGATAAATATCACATTACAGAGGAGAAAATACACTATATTGCAATGCTAAGAGTGCAGCAATATTTGCAACTTTTAAAATGCCGTGTTATTGTGGGATCTCATTTTTCCATCAGAATGAAGGTGGCAAAAACTGCTGCCACCTAGCAGTCGGAGTTTGAATTGCACTTCAAATGAAATACAGTGAATGTTTGCAATTAAAATGGTAAATGGCCTGTATTTGATATATTGGTCTCTGTGACCACCCCAATCAATACAATATTAGACAATAAATAATGCATGTAAAATATAAATGTCTGAGTCTGTGTGTTCACAGCACGGTAGACTCAAGCCCCCACAATGCGGCTCAAAAATTGAGCCCAACCCAGAAGTACCAAAAATTGCGGTTCCACCCTCATCCGCTGGGGCCTGGTGTCAGAAGCGAGCAAATCCTCATTGACTCCCATGTTAAAAATACCAATTTCACAGCAGAAATAAACATGTTTACAGCCTGGTACAAAACATGTTTTTTGTTTCAGTTATCTAGTTTACACTCATGACAACTCTGAGGGGGGTGAATTTTTTTCTCACTTTTCTGTTTAAGAGTATTAAAAGCCTAAAATTCTGTATAATTAATGAGCATCAGACCCACGTGACCACAGAGCTAGCTCCGTGGAAAGGCCTCAGTAGAGCCTCTGTCTGGCTTGGAAACTGTTCCGGGATTTTGAGTCTCTGTGTTTGTGTATTCTTTTTTGGATATTGTTGTGCAATTGTTGGACAAAATGACTTGCTGTGGCATTAATTGCACTAATAGAGCGTCCAAGGAGTCTCCACTTCATTTTTTTCGGTAAGTAAAATTATATTTATGTATTTTAGGTCACTGCCGAGCTGAGCTTAGATTTTAACATGTACTGTTTAGCCATGAAATTTAAATGTAATAGGGTAAAACCCAGTGCATTTAACATAATGCTGCACTTTAGAAAATGGGTTGAAATATAATGTTGGTGGAGCTGGGTTCCGACTATCGGCTTGTGGAGCTCTCGGGAGACCGATGTTTTCCACCCATTCTCTCCTCCCCGCAGCTCGGTGCATCTCTGTCTGATCGTGGCTTCTGTCTGCTGTGCGGCTGCCGGCTTGTGGAGCTCTTGGGAGACCTCTGTGTTCCACCCAGTTTTACCCAGCGGTCAGCCCGCCGTATCTCTGACTCAGAAGCTCTGGTGTTGTGCACAGTTAACTCTGGTTGTAGCTAGGTTGCTACCTCCGTTAGCTTAGCTCCCACCTCTGCGTTAGCTTTGGGTTAGCTTCAGGTTAGCTTGTAGCTAGTTCGACCGGGTGTCGTCAGTTGATCCCAGCCTTACAGCCACACCCTCAGCTGCACCTCTCTTCCCTTTTGTGGAATTGTCTGGGCTTGATGGAACCTGTGACACGGTCAAAATGGCGGTGGTGACCACCTCCCAATTGGCCTCAAAAACGTGATACTGGAGTCTATGGAAACCCATTGTCCAATATTTATATGTCGATGGGTAGACTCCATCCCTGAGTTCAGGAGACATTCCGATCATCCAGGAAAGCTCCTTAAATTTCTGATATACCAGATAACCACCCACTCCAAAAAGCAGAAATCCAGTAATCATCACTGCGAAAATCCCTACATCTTCAGAATCCTCAAAGCTGGGAAAGGCATATTACATTCAATTTCTTTCAGGAATCCAAAATATGTCCAACCGGGTGCGTTCCATCCATGTAGGAGTTCATTCCTCTGATCTCATTGTCGAAAAACTGTTGTCAATCGCGTTGAAAGACTAACTGACTAGATCCATATTGTAATAATTTCCAGGCCAAATATAAACAAACGCGTCTGCCGAACTTTTACTCCGTTATGTAAACTTTAACTCCTGCAGCGTAGAGGAAACTTGTTAAAATACGTCAACATGGTGGATTTAATAGAAGCTTTAAAGAACAAACTCTGGATGGTGTGAGGTGAGTTTGTCTCACTGCAGAAATAAAAACACACGGAGCATCAGCAGTCAGACACGTGAGCGTCAGAAGGCTGAACAATAACCTGTAGAATAATTAAAGTCATCATGCTAGAGCAGCTTTCTCTGTAGTGGACCACACCAGTTTCTGTCAATAATAATAATAGGTCACACACAAAGCTGTGAACATTTTAATTTCCTTTCTGAACTATTTCTGTTGAGAGTTTTAATGTTTAAAATCTGTTAGATTGTTACTGACAGCAGCTACGTTTAAGTTTCACTTCCTGTTCTGACTGAATGCTGCTGCAGCATGGAGGTGTAGTTCTCAGTCATCCTGGACATGATCCTCCTGAGAGTTTTAGCTGAAAACAGCTGGACGTTTCTGGATGTGTTGGAGACATTTAGCCTCTCATCCCAGGAACCGGAATCGAAACGAGGAATTGGAATCGGAATTGGAATCGTGCAAAATCAAACGATGCCCAACCCTACCCCCACCGAACTGAGTTCAAATATTTTTGATTCAAATAGACAAAATTAGTCTTTCATTTCATTTTTAAATGGTAAGGGGTAAGTGACCTGTATTTGTTCCTGGAAGAATTTTAATCCTTCATCTGTTTATGAAATTTTGATAATTTTATGACTTTATTTTCTCTGATGTTATTCTATTTCTGTTTTGAGATCATTATGATTTCATGACTTTGTTTTATTTGTGCTATATAAATGAAATGTATTTATTACTTACTTACTTATATAGTGCCTTCTTGGAGTTCTACAACCCCCCAAGACGCTTCACTGCACAATCAGTCGTTCACCCATTCACACGCAGGTGGGGATGAGCTACGATGTAGCCACAGCTGCCCTGGGGCGCACTGACAGAGGAGAGGCCTGCCGAACACTGGCACCACCGGTTCCTCTCACCACCACCAGCAGGAAAGACGGTTTAAGTGCCTTGCCCAAGGACACAACAGCAGCATTATCAGGTCGAAGGACCGGAATCGAACCAGCAACCTTCCAATTACTAGTCAACCCGCTCTGCCTCCTGAGCTACTGCTTTTTACATTTTATTGATTCGTTTCAGCTCTTTATTTAGGCAGGGTGGACGGTCTCTTCCAGTCGCCGGGTTGCA